ACCCTGCTCTGTGTCCTCTCCTTGTCATCAGCTCAGCCTGGACGGATGTTAGGGCCTCTCTGGTACGTGGGACTTCTTAGGCTGGGCACATGTGGCCCTCACCCCAATACTTCCCACTTCACCTCGGTGGCCACACGTATGTGTCACTCTTGGTGGATGCCACACTGACTACTGGAAACAGTGGGACGTCCTGACACGGTGCTGAATTTGGAGACGGAGCTCTCTCAGCCTTTTACTTGGAAGAACCTCTCTGAATTCACGTTCTACTAGACTTTCAACTAAATGGAGAGAATGACTGTGAAAAAGGACTTGGAGACAGAAATGACAGTTGTGCCTCATTTTTAGTTTCCAAAGCACCAAGCACTCTGAATGGGCCAGTTTGGAAGAGACCCTTGGGATGCCAGTGGGGACAGTTTCCTAGGGGACTTCCACCTACAGGTGAAGCACATCAAATAGTATGAGTGCTCCAAAAAGCCATGACATCCCCACAGGCACAGCAAGATGCTCCTGAGGACAACGTGGGGTTGATGTCTGCCCTTCTCACAGTTCACACTACGGCACTGAGAACTGACACCCCCAAGGGCCCGTGTCTGAATTCCAGCTGGTAGACACCAGCTGATGGCTTCCCTCTGCTGCAAACGGGTGCTGACAGGTGCTGCTGCTGCAGAAGGAAGAAAGGCCTCCCCGAGCCAGAGTCTTGCCTCCTTCCTCCCAGCAGATGCCAAGGGTATCTCAGGACTGCTGAGGGTCTGGAGCTTTCTGATCAGCCTGGGGTCACGGGGGTCAGGAAACGGGTGTGCAGGGGAGACAGAGGCCACCACAGGTCATTCATCTCAAGGTGCCATGCCAAGATCCCTCCCCCATCCTTTCACCAGGGACTTGGTGCGTAGGGACAGATCTTAAGGATCAGCTATCCATCCCCATCCTGCAACAGAAGGTGCCCAGGGGAATGAGAGGTAACCAGGCCGCTTCCCCGGTCCCCAGAGAAAGCCTCCTCCCATCCCAGGGCTCCCAAGTCCATGCAAAGTTTCTCACATGATCATCTGTCATCTGGATCCCAAAGGGAGCACGAAAGACAAGTTTTAAAACAGCTTCAGCTCTCTAAAAATGGTCCCTCCGCTGACGACAGGTGTCAGCCGCTGTGCAGGTGTATGAGCAACCCCCTGAAGGAAATCCCCCCTCAGGGCTGCTCCTTGCCCCTGTTCAAAGGGGGGCTCTGTCCCAGATGGGGACACAAAGTCTCGGCCCACAGAATCAGAGTGCAGGACTGGGGGTGCAAAACTGCCTCATTCCCAGGTACCAGCACCCTACTTAGGTACGAGTATTAAGAGAGCCCCACACCTTCATGAAGTCAGAGGGGAGTAATTCTCCAACTTTGAGAGTGAAAGTAGAGAATTAAAAATCCCCAACATGGCTTCAGGCCTAAGCTACCTCCAGTGCAATTTGCCAGGGAGTCGGGACATTAAGGCCTAAGCTAACATGGGGGTTCTGTTTGGCTCAGTGGATAACCCATTCATCAGCTCCACAGGAGAGGAACGTGCCTCCAAACCCAGCCCCTAAGTGAGATGATGGTTTAAGTAGGCTCAGTGACCACAGAGGTCCAAACAATGGTTCTAAAGAGAAAAGTGGGACAATGCCTGGGTGGCATAGTCCCTAGCTGAACCAAAAAGTCCTCATATCCAAGTATGAGATGAGGGTTTTAGGGGGGACCCATCCCTGGTGTAAAAATCTGCACCAGTTCATTAACAGTCAATGTGGATGTAAACAGGGAATAGGAACTCTGCATCACTGCATCTTACAGAAGTCAGTGTTCATGGTGACTTCAGTGACGGTCTATCGTGCTCAAAAGCTGAAAGGATCTGGTTGTCAAATCAAACAACACACAAATGCATCAGACATAAACCCAAATCCATGCCTGTTTCACCAGTTTCAACGCATCCATTTCCCACCACATAACATTAATGTTGGAATTCTGTTCGTGCTCTAGTTTTATCTGCACTTAATTTTAAATGCACTTTGGCTTTGCAATTGCAAAAGAGCCATTGTTTTGTTTGTGAATATTTAAAAAATAATTTAACATTGTAACCTTTTGAGTTAAAAAGGCTACGTGTACTTGTCCACTTAACACATACTGGCTAATCCTAAGAAATTCATCTAGTTGAGTCCTACCTGATTTCTGGAGAAGGTCCAGATGGACAACATTTTTGTATACAAGAAATTCCCCCTATTATCGCCCTTTGTGTGCTGCCCAAAAGCAAGAACCCAGACTCTTGTTCAGAACTAAGTCTTTCAATAACCCAGAGGTTAACTGTCTCAATTAACAAGCACTGTGTATCTTTTAGGATAACCCCTGAAACATGAATCAAAAAGACAAAGGACAAAAGCGAAACTACCAAACCACTCTGGAAGGAAAAATATGAAGTTCCCAAATGAATGTGTTGCTTGAAAATATAAACCATTTCTTCTCAGTTTGGCTCTGTCGACCATCTCGGAAAAGGATGTTTTTACAATCAGGGCAGAAATATGACTGGCCGCTCCTACATTTACATTTCTTTGTTGCAAAATGAATGTGACTTGTTCGGGTTCCAGCAGCAGAGAAAGCAGCAGAAGTGGTGGTTACTTTCCAAAGTGAAACTTAAAACCACAGTCTCCGGTGCACAAAAGGCAGAGTGAGTCACAGGAAGGGGCCACTTGCTTGCAAAACTCATTAAAAGCAATGCAGGCTGAATGGACTTCCTGCGCCGATGAAAAGATCCTGGCATCAGGACAGGCACCTCCAGGCTCCAACAATTTGGGGGAGGAAGGGAGCCATTAGGAATCCGGGCACGGCCTGCCAGGCTCCTTCCCATGCACCCCCACCCTGCCCCAGGCTGCCCAGCCTGTGGTCCCCTCCCAACCCTGATGGCTCACATCAGAGATCTCAGGAAGGGTGCTTAGATGTGTCACAGGGTCAGGACGACACCTTCCGACTCAAGCAGGCACCCACACTGGTTTTCAGCTCCTTCTCGGGAGGTTAGCTGAGGCGAGTTCATCTTTCTAGGGATGCCCCTCTCCTTTCTGGGCAGGTCTGTGTGAGCTCTGGGCGCTTATCTTTCCCTGATCTGACCAGAGGAAAGTCAGGAGAAGGCAGAGGACCCTGCTCTGCAGTATCGAAGGAACCAAGCACCAGGATTCCCTGAAGGGGACTTCTTTAAACAGATTGCAGGGCCCAGCCGCTGGTTTGATTCAGTACGTCTAGAGTAAGGGCCCAAGAATTTGTTTTTGTAGCGAATGAGCTCCCTGTTGCTGGAGCTGTAGGCCAGAGACGACACTTAAGAGAACAATAAACCTAAAAGGACACCAGACCTGAACAGGCAGCCTACAGGCTGCTCCCCCTATGAAATCAGTCAGTGATGCTGGGCCTCAGGCTGTGCCAACTGGATATACTCTGGTACCAAAACAGTCCCCACAAGGCACGCTCCCGTCTCCCTCCAGGTCCAGTCCACTCCTGGCTGATCTCCAAGTCCAAGCACTATAGGAAGGGGGGCCTTTGTCGAAGTGGGAGATGCTTTTTAAAAAATGTGCTGCCAAAACAAAACCAATTGTGCCCCCAGGTGGCCACTTGGGCCCACTGACTTCCAAGGACATCTTCTGTTTGGTCATACCCTGGCTTCCTTGGGTACCCAGCCCCCTGCCTGGCTTGCAACAGAAGTGACTCCAATCACCACCTTTGATGCTGGAGTTGAAAGGAGGTTAGAAGAGTAAAGTCAGAAACTCCAGTGGCCTTTTAACCACCTTCTCTAAGTTTAAGGGGAAGTTGAGACTGAGCACTGCTCTCACTGCTCTCACAGACAAAATACAGATGTTCAAAGGGAGGCAGACGAGGGAGATGGACAGTGATGTCCAGACAGCTGGCCAGATAGTACTCCTGCAGGAGGAGGGTACTTAGATTCTGGGAGCTTGTTTTTATCCTTTTCAAATGCACCCTCCTTGTGTTCCTCCAAGATGATTCTGTTCCTGGCTTGAGCCAGGGTGGCATGCATTACCTGCTTGGAAAGGGCGCTCTGTGACCCAAGGTTGCTGGCTGCAACCCACCATCTCCATCCTCAGCCCCAGATGCTAGGGCAGTGCTGTGCCGGTGTTGAAAACATGCTATAAAGCATCTCAAATGGTCAGATCACACCTGAGACACGGGACACCAATCTACTGGACCAGTTTCCCTGGATACCTGTGGGAGCTGGTGCAGAACTACAGTCACAGCTTAAGCTAACGGTTAGGTTACAGGTGAAAGAGCCTGCTGACTGGATCCAAGCTGGAGTGAATCTGTGACAAAGCTCTCGACACTGTGTGAGGCTCGCTTTGCCGCATGAGACACACAGCCTTAGTACTACAGATGCCAGGGACAAATCATGTGGATCCGGGCAGTGTGAGGAACTCAGCCTAGTTCTCCTGCAGCTCTGTTTCCACATTTAGGTACCAAGAATCTTCCACTTACTTCGAAATGCTAAGGTTAACTTAGGTAATCACCAGGAGTCTCCAGCCGTGTTGACTAAGAATTAAGCAGTTCTTAGCCTAAATAATTTAATAGGTCAGAGACTGTGATTCATTCATTTCAATGATAAATGAACTTGCAGTACACCACAAAGAAGTCAAAAGTGCACAGGAGGGCAGCCTGTGAGGCCAAGGACCCCATGTGTAAACACTGATTGGGGCCAGGCCCTGGGAAGCACTGGGGGATCAGCATCTTACTGAGACTCCTGGCTCCTAAGTCGCCCTACCAAAACAGGGAGGAGCCCCAAGGTACAAGCCACCCTTCTCTTTCTTCATCACTCTTGTCCCTCTGAAAAAGGGACACTGAACCATCAGAAAAGATGTTTATTCTAAGGGTGAGCAGGCCACCGCCTTCAGGATTATGTTCAAGTAGAGAATAAAATACTGTGCTTGATAACACATCAGAAAAATAGCAACCTAATGACTTACCAAAATCTATTTAAAATTCACTTGCCTGATTTTCAGAGAAGTCTTTTATCCACCTCATCATTTATTACAATATTTTTTAGCTTTGCATCCAGCACAACATAATGAAGTATTACAGTGATTTTCATCATTGCACCAGCATATACAAACACACATCAAACACTGTCAAAATAAAGTGGTGATCCAAACCTCAGGACAAAAGGGGAATTCTTTTTGAAGGTGTAACCATTTTTCTCTCATGTTCCAGATATATACTTTCTTCCTCATCCTGTGTGACAGACATTTGGAGAACTCTCACAATGGAGTGATTCACTTCCATGGACCCATTTGAAACGTGTGGTCCAAATACAGCTGTCTAGCATATGACCTTGGGGTCACCAGGTCACAGCACACACACAGATAAATAATCCGCCTATTCCTGGGTGCGGCCACATATAAACCTCGTTTTCAGAAGCTGTAAGACAGGTGCTAATCTTACAGCCCACCCAGGGCTCACGTGTGAGTGAGTGTGACTCAATGGAAGGTGTGCTCTGTTTCGGGGGGGGGGGGGTCTATGGAAATTCAAGGTACATCAAATTAGTGTCCAAAGTGCGTGCTCTCAGGCTTCACTTGGAGAGCAGCCTACAGAGCAGGTGAAGAGTGAGTTGCAACCATTCCCCCCACTAAGGCTCCCTTGGGGCGCAAGGCAGAAAGCATGGGACCTCTGCAGGCTAGTGAGCAGTGAAAATTCACTCACACTCCCTGGTGGCAGAAGAATCATGTGCCTTCTAAAGGCCAGCAGAGAACAAACAGGAGTTCATTAAGGCAGGAATATTTTTAATTAATTTTAACACTTCCCAAAGGGAATTTGCACATGCATGTCCACGTCTCTAGGAAGTCTGCAATCTGCCGGACTCTGGGTGTCCCCACGAACAGCTCAGTGGAGCCACCCATCCTTAACAGCCCACCAACCACAACAAAGGCAATGAGGCCGGGTTTTCTTTCACAGAAAGAGTAACATTTCCTTCAGCCGCTCCGTGCTTTGCGCCTACAATTCTAACAATGAAATTTAATTGGAAAGCATTTCAGTCGTCACAGTAAAACACTCCTTAAAAAAATACTTCAAAAATGTAAAGCAAAATATTTTACCAAAATAATTCTTTCATTTTTCACATTGTTCTTTCCATCAGCTAGATTAATAAACAGAACCACCTTCTACTGGCTTCAAGAATGTCACTCAAATTATTACTTTTAACCTTACCCTTAATTTGAGTGGAAAAAGCTAAGAAAAATAAATTATTCATAATTCCAAAAGAAGGTCAGTCATGAGATACACAGAATAAGGCTCTTCAGATGTCTAGCACACTCGCTTTTTAATGTATTAATAACAGTTGTAATTGAAAGAATATGGCTAGGGTGCTTACAACAGTGACCCAATCAGAGTGAAGCAATAAATAATATCTATAAAGGATAGAATTCAACTGCTTGAAACTGTTTTCTTAAAACCAACCAGTTTCTTTTGAGAGCTCCCAACAAAAATCAACGTCATCACCCTTCAGCATAAGCCCCGGTCAAGGCCACATGATCAGCGCCACCTCGCTGAGTGAAAGGGTGACAATGGCATGTTGAACTGATTTGAAATGCGCCTTAAAAGTCACGATCATTTTCCTTGAAGGCATAGCAGTTAGAGCTGGACACAGCGCATTCCAAGGAAAATGTCTGCCACGGATGCATTAAGGCAAAAATGTCCCAGCCTTGAGCCACAAAGAATGGGGGGATATGCAGGCTGCCTCTAACCAAAGGAACTAAGAACATGTCACCTAAAAATGAGGGTAGTCAGCAAACACTGCCAGGGAACAACCACGGGGCCAAGACTAAGGCCTGCTCAAGGCCCCGACCCCACGAGGGTCAGGTTGCCATCAGGGACCTCGGGTTCAGGCCACTTGACCCTTCACTGCCCTGTCCACCCTCTGCAGAAGGCAACACAAATGTCGCTGCCATGGGAGTGTGGCCCCCCAGGACCCCAGCCATGCACATCTGGCAATCCTCAGCTGAACCTCGTCAGGGGGCAAGCCTCTGCTTGGGCATTGGAGCCCCATATTGCACATCAACCAGAACTGACCCTGGAGCAGGCTGGGGCTCAGTGCTGCCGTGGGCAGCAGCCACACTGAGGATGCCTGGCACCCAGGAACACCCCACTCCTGGCTAGAGGGTCCAACCTCCGTGGTGTACTCAGAAACGTCACCCCATGGCAGGGGGAAGGGGAGAATGCTCCTCAATTCTAAGAAAATGAGCACACATGGGCTCCCAGTGCCGGCTCCAGGGTCCCCACAACCCGTTCTTTAGTGGTGACAGGCTCCCGCACCACTGCAGGAGGCTGTGTGGCATGTACTATGCTGAAGCAGAATGAATGTCCTGGTTCTCAAAAGGTGGCGGCGGCTCTCTCCAGAAGGTGAAGTTACTGAAAGTGTCCGCGCAGGGGAAGTCCGAAGAATGACTTCTCTTCAGCAACGGGAAGACGTGGTCAACCACCTCACACAGCCTCACATACCTGCAAGGAAAATGGACACTGAGTTGCACCAGCACCAGGGCTGCCCTCGCAGTAGGCAAGACCCACACCCCAGCCAGTGACCACCTGCCCAAGGTGACTAGGAGGACACCCCTTACTAATGAGGAATCAAGAGGTGAGAACAAGAGTCATAAAGGAGTCCTGAGGGCTCTACGGGAGGGGTCACACAAAGGACAACAGGAGGAAATCAGCATGGCCACCACACTGCTGCCTGCCAGAGGCCATCTAGACACAGGGGACACGGACCCAGGCAAAGCACCTCCCAGGAGAACACAACAGAGACTGCTTCACTATAGGATGAAAAGACGAGCAGCCCTGGCCGTCGCCCTGCCACTTTCCAGCTCTGTGATCTTGGGAAAAGGGCCACAATTTCCATCCTTGTAAAGTGGCAGAAATGAAAACTGCCACAGTGTTACTATCAGAATTAAATGAAATAGTATCTGCAGCAATAGAACTGCATATAGTGGGTACTCAATAAATTTATTCAGCAAACCATTAACATGTCTCAGGGAAAAAACTCTGGCTGGCATGAGGGTCAAGGTATTTGGGAGTTGCTCCTGCCTTACTTGCTGAGGGACCTGGGTAAACATCTTGCCCTCTCTGAGCCTCAGGTCTTTCATCTTCGGAGTGTGTGGAGCTGGACTAGAACAGGTTTCTCAATGCTCCCTACAACCTTCTCTCACTCTGTTTTCTCTGCATTCCCAAGAGGATGCTGCACATTAGCTTTTGTGCCTGCACTACAAAAAGAAAGTTGCATTCTGAATCTGCCTTTTCAGACCTCCAGGCACCTCCACCCAACTCGGACACGCCTGGCCCTCTCCCTCAAATCCCCAGGCTCCTCCCTGACAATCCCTGGGCCTCTTTCCAGTTCCAATTTGCTTTTTGAAAACCTAAAGGGGCTTTTGAAATCCAAACTCCAGGAATTAGTATGTTCTGAGGCATAAAATAACTTATTAAATAAGGACGAGTGTGTGTGTTTAATAGGGGCCTCTGAAGGCCTCATGAGGAACACTGTACTGGCACAAATGGGAAAATCTCTCTTAATATAAAACCAAGAATTATGTCTTTACTGGGGATTAAAACAAAATTTCTAAAGACCTCCCAGCTCTAAGGCCTATTAATCTGAGCCTTATGGAGGAGCCTCCCGGCTGCAGCAGCTCTCTGCCAGGCTGCGGTAGGCACCAGAACCAAGCCCACGTGCTCTGGTGACAAGGCAAGACCCAGTGGGTGCCTCAGCCCTCCACAACTGGGCTCCCTGCAGCAGGCGGGCATAACATGCCCCGCCACTCACAAATGCAATGGAGGAAAGCACCGAGCTACTTTATGGCCCATCCCTGAGGACATTCCAGATAACTGGCCAGGTATACCCGCGTGGCTTAGAAATGTAGCAAGTTCAGTGCCGGAACAATGTGGGAGTAGTCCCCTCACGGAGTAGTCCCATCATGGTGCAGGTGTCAGGGGAGAGCATCATTTGGCAAGATGGGAGTTGGCTCCATGCGTAAGTCCACCCTGGGGCCCAGCGACAGGCCACAACAAGGGGCTACAGCAATCTAACCCGAGTCTCAGGAGGCAAGCAGAGTGACACTGGAGGCTTTGGGCAAGCAGTCTTAGAAACTGGATCCCTAGCCACGGAAAGCTCTTTGTAACCCTCAATAAAAATCCATAGATCGTCCCTAGGCCAGGGACCCTTTCACACGGGCACATGCTGCACTGGCATTAGGGAGAAGAGGAATGGAGACATTGTCAGGGCAGCAGTTTAGAACAAGGGGACACAACAATTCATCAGAGGTTCCCAAATTTCTATATTATGAGTATAGAGAAATAGACCCACCAAGATCCTAATCAATCATAAACAAAGCATCAGGTTCAGGGGTGCACGCCTGTGATCCCAGCTATGCTACTTGAGAGGCTGATTGCAAATCTGAGGCCAGTCTGGGGAATTTAGTGAGACCCTGTCTAAAATAAAAGGGCTGGGATCTGGCTCAGTGGTAGAGCACTTGCCTAGCATGTTAAAGGGCCTGGGTTCCATCCCCAGTACTGCCAAAAACAAAAATAACCATTGGGGTTAGCCCTCTGACTTGAAAAACCTGAGTTTTAACCAAAACATACAAGAGAATTTCTCAACAACTACACAGGACAGGGAGCTTCAGCACTTGAGGAGGTATCCAGCTTCCCATATTTCTGCTTGGTTACATTTCTAATCCACATTTTAGGCTTCCGAGCCTAACTCGGCAAATCTAAACAAGGATATTCTGAATTCATTCAATTCCTTTTGGTAGCAAAATCTAACGTCCAGTTCAAGTTTCACACCTAGAGGGGAATCTGATTTGATTCTAGCTGTCTAAAAATTAAATTTTGGACAAAAAATGTAGGAATTAAACCACATGCTTTAGAGTAGTTAAAGATTAAAAACACAGGTAGCAAGGGCTTCAAGAGTCCACTGTAAATGGCAGAGCGCCATCTCAAGACACAGCTGCAACCCCAGGTGGCACACGCCTGCCATACTCACGAGGAGATGTTGGTCTTGGCATGCTCCTGTACCAGCTCTCCTTTAGGGTTGACAGTGAAGATTCTGTTCAAGGACACCCCCACTTGCTTGTAGGAATACACGTCCTGTGTGGAGAAAGGTGATTTAAACAAGTTCACTGTAAAAAAAAGTGTGTGATCTCTGTTTTAAAGTAAGAGCATCAAATTCGCACCAACAAGAGCAGGAAGTGGGGAACCTGCCAGCTTTCCTCCCCCGGCCTCGGGCCCCTCTGTGTTCAGGAACCCAGTTAAAGAGCAAGCAAACTCCTGCGTCTCCTGCAATCCTGACATTCTTTGGGGTTACTGTGTCCCACTTTCCTGTTTCATGAAAACCTGTCATGATGTTTAAAAGTACAAGAATTTTCTGGCTGAGCAAACAGTACTGTACCCACTGTATTCTCCAGAATTCTGAACCTTCCACTAAACTTGGGCCACACACACACAACCTCAAAGCATTTCCTCTTCCTGTAAGATTATATGTTCCACACTCTTAAAACACTACACCCCTAAGACTCAATATGTGGACTTCCCCACCCTGTGGAAGAAAGGATCTAATGCTATTAAATGCCCTTGCTTTACTCATTAAGAAGTGATATGGAATTTCAAGTTTATAGGCCCACACCTCAAGGTCAAACCCACCAGCCAGCCTTCAGAAAAAGCTGGAGGCCATGTGGCATGATTTCAAATCTCTTTGCCTTGAGATGCAGCCATTTTCCAGGCTATGTGAACAGGATGAGGACTGGCTTTACATGAGGTTCGGGCCACAGCTCTCCGGTGACTGCTGTTGGGGGAGCAATGTCCAGGGCTCATAGGGACTCAACCTAGTACTCACAGCCGGCCGGTTTCCAAATGCAGCATAAAAGGGTTCCGTATTGGGGAAAAACAGGTTTTTGATGTCGGTTAAACACTGGACTTTAAACTTTTCTGGCTTCTTTTCAATCACTTCTCTGTTAAAACAAACAAGTAAATAACAGATCAGCAGGAGAATAACTTCAGTAACACTAAACTACTTATAAGCCTCAACACTGTGAAGTCAGTGAAGCCAGCCTAGGAGAGTGTCAGGGGTGGCCTGCCAGCCTCCCCACAGGGATGGCGCCAGGAGGAAGAAAGACTTCCAGCAACCGGCTAAGGAGCAGGGGCTCCCAGCCTACTGAGGGGAGCATCTCCACACCTACTCATGAAACAGGTGCAGCTCGAACACAGAACCTGAGGAAAATTCTGAGCAACTGGTAAAACAATCTAGCCCATGAATAAGGGCAAAGCTTCCAAATACATACATGTGTGCAAACCAGCAATATCAAAAGCCAGGCTCACGCCAGGAATGCAAGAGTGACATAATATCTAGAATTGATTAGAATAACAACACATTGTCAGATTAAGGGGAAAAAAATCTCTGATATAAAAAGGACAATTATACAATTCAATATCAAATCAGGGTGAAAATTCTTAAACCAGGATGAGAAGGGGATACTCAGACCTCCTGACAGTAAAATGCCAGGGTCTCCAGCACCACGGCAGTACAGTGTGTACACTCAGTCCCACCCAGAGCAATGACACGAAAAAATAAATGTAGGCTGTAAGGATTAGAAAGGATGTGAGAGAAACAACTATTCATATTCACAAAAAGCCGCCACCTACACTTTTTAAAAATCCAGATGAGTTATCAGAATTCAGGAAGGTTAATAAGTCAAAGAAAAAAAAAATCAATGCATTTCCATGTATCAGAAACAGAGAATATAATCGTGTAAACAGTATTTAAAATAGATTTTAAAATATCAAATGTCTAGAAACCTAACAGTCATGACAGACCTTTCTAGCTAAGGTTATTAAACTACTAAAATACATTAAGAGAAGGCCTACATAAATGAAGAAATAAATTATATTCTTGAATTAGAAGATTCAATATTATACTGAAATATTAATTCTCCCTAAATTGACCTACAGAGCCATTGCAATTTTAATCCAAATTATGAAAGATTTCTGTCTGTTTTTATATAACTGCATTCCAAAAGCCACACAGCAGAACGAAGCCAGGACGCCCCTGCTGGTGGGAGGGTGAAGGGCTTTCGAAGCCCTGGGGCCTGACACACTGCAGTACCTGGTCCATATGTTCCTTTGCCAAGGGAAAAACAGAGCCCAGAAACGATCACACATTCACAGACGCTTGGCTGATGACCACAAAAGCATCCCAAAACAGGATGAAAGGGCAGTGTGTTCTTAATATAAGGTGCCAGGACAAATGAATACCCACAGAAGAAAACAAAATTACTCTGGGTCTCTGCATCAGGCTACCTACAGAAATCAGTTCCTAGTTAGTGTAGACCTAACGAGAAAGTCAACGCCAGTCAATAAAATTCAGAAACTATGCTCACAGGTCAGGGAGGACTTTGTTAAGATACAAACGCCTAAACCTCAGAGCCAACAATATGCTCAGCTCTAAGTAACTAAGAACTTATGCTCATTAGAAGCAATAACTGAAAAAAAAAGAGATTTGCAGCACTCATAGAATACACATTGCACTCTCCCAAAGCAAAAAGAAGTTGCAGGGAAGCCTTGGATAGGCACTTCAATGAAGAGGTCCCCAAGGACCAGTAAGTCTAAAAAGAGGTATTTATACCCCCTGGCAAGAGTGTAAAAGTCTGCCCTCGACCCAGCACACGTGCCCTAGGGACACACACAAGAACACTGCTCTCTGGGCTGGGGTTGTGGCTCAGTGGTAGAGCACCTGCCTAGTACGCATGAGGCCCTGGTTCAATTTCCAGGCCCACATGAAAAAACCAAATAAGCAAAATAAAGGTATTGTGTCCATCTACAACTAAAAATATTTTTAAAAAATAAATAAAATACTGCATCAACTGCAAAAAGCTAGAGATGACTCCAGCATCCACCGGCAGCAGAATGAATAAATAGGTGTGGGGCCACACAACCAGAAACCACTAAAGTAATGAGCAAACTGCAGCTCCACTCGCAATCCTAGAGATTCTCATCAAGAGCTGAAATATATGTTCCAAGAAAACACCTGATTTCATTGACATAAAACTCACAAACATGCACAAGTAAATACTTTGCTTAGGGTCACAAATATCGGTGAGAAGATTAGCAAGACCATAAGGAATGACTAACTGAACTCGGGGACAGCGGGCACTACTGAGGGGCAGTGGGGTCCAGCACTGAGACTTGCACATGATGGCACACCTCTGCTCTTTAAGTGGATGCAAGGTGCCCTGTGTCCACCAACTGATTTGTTTTATACCTTGCAGATATCCTAGAAATCTCCTCTTGTACCTACTGAAAAATGTAATTTAGTGACAATGACAATGGCAATGATAACTACAGGCACAGACTAAATATGTGAAGCCCCCAGGATGGTCCTGGCTCTGTGCTGACTCCCAGGCCATAGGTCCTCCTGGGCACTGAGTAAGGGTCTTGTACTCGACAGCCTGGGATCCTGGTGTACGGATGCATGAGTGGCTGTCCACACTTCAGGACCCTTGTGGGTGAACACATGAGTAACTTCACGTTCACACACACAGACTCACAGGGGGTGGGAGGAATGGGACAGTTCAACATGAATGGGTATTTGGTGCTCAGCAGGGAGATACTGTGGCCCCAGGCCACCCATGGCTTGACAGTGCTGGATACCTAGAGAGCCCTGGTATGACTACAGTGGCCAGTCCACACTGCTCCTAGGTATATCCCGTCTCTGATGATCTGAATTTGCAAACAGTCGTGGGTCATTCACCTCACGAGAGGTAAATTACTCTGAATCACAAGTGTCACATGTCCAAGTCTCACAACTCAGAAACCTCAAGGGAAATCAAAGCTATTTATGGAAGTAAGGCCTCTTTCCGAGAGACAGAAAGCAGCCTCTACTGCTGCCTAACTCCAGAAGTTCAACTCTGCCCCATAATCCAGAGTTGCAGGAACCAGCCAGGGTTAATCTGTAAGCCCCTGCCTCTGAGCCCAGCTCCTCAGCAGGTCACCACTCGGAGCCTGGAGCTGCACTAGGAACGGTGCACTGCACTGATGGGGGTTTATGACAACCATCTGCACAGTTCTGTCTCCACCATAGGGCACGGGCCTCAACTCCAGTTTTGATCTTAATGTGAACAAACGGATGGGAGCGTGGAACAAACCAAAAGGGCAGGTATGTGGAAGAGATCCCCCCAACTTGTTTCTCAGTGTTTCCTAGAATCACGGCATGGAGCTGGAAAGGCCTCCTGGGGGTATCTAAGCTAACCTTCTCATTCGGCAGTTGAGACACAGCCTATGGAAGGCGGGGTGCCTCTGGCCACACCAGGTTGCCTGGAGGCTCTGTCCCCACTAGCAGCTCCCTCTGCCCTGCCCTGGTGAGAGCCTGCTCCTGAGACTGCAATGCATGCAGGTCCCCGTGCCCCCCACAGCCTCGTCCACTTCTTTTCCTTCATCCAGTTTAAAGCTAAACAATGCCATTAGGATGGAACCCAGCTAAACCAAAGCTTGCTAATGAAGGTCGTCTGTGCTCATAGCAGACTCACCCATCAATTCTAGGAAATCTACAGGGCAGCTGACCATGAAATGGCTTTGGCTACACTGCAGGATTGCTTCAGGGGCACTTCCATCTCCCAGAACACCATGCAAACTGTGATATTTGAGAGTTTTTAAAATAACTCCTTACAGGCAATATACATCTTAAACAAAGATATGTAAATAAGAACATGAGAAGGATCACTTTAAAGTTAACAGCAGGATGTCAGGGTAATAATGTCCACTCTCCACTCCGCCCAGCATAGACTTAGTGCTCAGCACATGCTAATGACAGCCAGCTTCAAGCTGTCAATGTAGTTCAGTGACAAAATTCCATTAAACTTCTGGATTGCATTGAAGCTATACTGTTGTGATAATTCATAAGACTTGAAACACATGGTTTCATGTGTTTTGCCTGAATTTTCTCCCAAGAATGAGCAAGCTTTAATTCGAGATATTTTAAAAGCAAACCTATGATGGAAAAGATGTCTATAGAGAAATAATCAAGAGTCAGCTTGGCATTTTGGATCCATACAGATTTGTCCATTGTTCAATGGTCAGCAGCAGCACATGCAGCTAATCTGCTCCACTAACTGGGGCAGAACCATGCCAAAGCCTTTCATTGATGTTCAAGAGCAAGGATATAACACTATGAGTTAGCCTTTAGCAGGGACCAACAATCTGACCCATGTGGAATGCAAGAGATTATGCTTCAAGGGAAGCTGGGGAAACCACAATGGGTGCCCCTATGAAAAGGAGTGCAATATCCCCACCCACCCCTTCCACAGCCAGAGGTGACCAGCTGCCTTGAATATGGCCAGAAGGGGAAGAGAGGAGGACAATCAGAATCGATCTCCAAGAGGGTAACTGTAAGAAGCAGTATGTCTAGAATTCTAAGAGGGATCAGCAAGTGTGCTGAGGGTCCAAGGGCCAGGTGGATGGGGCAGCTGGGAGAGAGACCACTTCATCCCAGCAGGGTTCCCAGTGAGAGGAGATGCAAGTTGATTCCCCAAGGGTCCCCATGAAGACCCAGCCTGACCACTGAGGGAGAAAGGGAGAGGGAGAGCTACCCAAAACAGACCAGCACGGAGGAGAGGACTGCACAGCAGAGGGTTCAGTATGGCTGAGAGTTAGAAATGAGACAGAGGGCTGGGAGGCAGGTCATGAAGAGCCACCCAGAGCCAAGCTAATGACTGGACTTCACCCCAGAGCCAATGGAAAGCCAAGGTGTTGCACGCCCATGATCTCCTTGGTGCCCCTGTGAAGCACGGGCATTGCTTGGAGAAGACCGTGTAAGAGAAGATTTATTCTTGCAGAGATCTGAGTATGGGAGCAGAGTGCCAGGGTGGTACCTGTGCAAGGCGGAGAAGAGGCTGCTGGGGCTGAGCAGCAGCGGCCCCTGCGGCAGCACCGTGCCCCTCTCGTTGACCCAGTGCAGGTAGCCCCGTGTCATGTCTGCCATCCCGATGGCACGTGCAGAACAGTAGAGAAACTTATATCCATTTCTGAAAGAGAAAAAGCAAGCACCCACATTTAATGGCAATCAGAAACGAAAGTTTCTGGCATTCCCAAACCCCCTCTGTTTCATGAAGAATGCCTTTGTTGCAAGTTCCCCACATAAGAAAGTCCACATTCTATAAAATCCTATTTTCAATTGAGAAATAAACCTAATTGCCTTTCTCTAATTTACTAAGCACATTCACATTCCTCATTAGATTTAATTCACTTGAAAAACATGCTTAGGTGGGTGTTTCTCCCTGGTTTACTGCCACAGAGATGGAGGTTCAGAGGGATCAAATTGGCCAGTGTTTCTGCCCGGCGTCCTGTACACCCTTGTCCCTGCTCCAACTAGGGCCACCCATCCACTGTGCCAGGTCCAGGGCAGCCAACTGCTCGTGCATGGCCCTGCTTGGGCACACAGCTCTTCCCCTGCCCACCCTCAAATGCCCCTCTCCACTGGCTAATTCCCACCAGCATGCGATACTCTCATCTCCCACAAACACACCAAGCAGAAAACACCACTCACAAACCCTGTGTCCTTGGGCTCTCTCCAGCTAAGATCCCACTTCTCTTCCCCTTTGTGGCAGAATTCTTTCCAAAAGCTGTGCCGAGGCCCTGAACCACCTCTTCACTCCATTCCTCTCCACCCCTGCTCTGGAGCAGGCTCTCCTTCCCCTCCCTGCTGGCCTTGCACAGGTCAGCTACGAGGCCATCTTGCTAAATTCAGGCAGTGGTTCTCAATTCTATGTGAAGAGACTTCCCAGGAGCTTCTGCCAGGTGCTCAGTCCACCCTCTAGCACAGCACCTTTGCCACTTGGCTCCCTGGACTTCAGTCCCTGGCCGGCTCCTCCCAGACATGTCACCCAGGCTACTTTCACGCCCTCTACCCACTCAAGATGCACAGTGCCCTGAGGTCCCGGGCCTCATGTCCTCTCAGCACCCTCCTCCTCCCTCCCCAGAGCTCCAAGTGCTGCATCTAAACTGAGGCAGCATGATAGTCCTCTTTTAAGCACAACAGACCTGCTTTAGTTGGACTCCACTATTTTTAACTATTAAAAATTTAGTGGCCATAATAAAATGTGCTGTAAGTACAAAATATATGACAAGTTTTGAAGTCTCACTGTAAGAGTAGAGTGCAAGATATATTCCCTTAGTCATTTTCATATTGATTACATGTCTAAATGATAATCAGTTTGAATACATTACGTTAAATAAAATACTTATGAAAAAATTTTAAAATGCCATCTATACACCACCATCTCTCAAGTTCACGTTCTAGTTCAGCCCTTCTTAAGCTCCAGGGCAATATAAAAAAGCAAACAGCATGTTACTTACCAGACACACAGCAGCATCTCAAAGGTGGTCTCTCCACCACCAATGCACCCCAGTGACTCCTCCCTAGGTGGTCCCTGCCTCAATGAGGCCTCTCATCCACCAGGTGTGAAGCCGACACTTCAGGCCCTCCTTGGTTTCCCCTTTTCCTCACCCCACCCCGTCCCCCTCCACCCAACACCTACCCCAAGCCACGCCAGCCCCACCCCAGCACCGCATCATGGCCTCTGGGCCCCCACAGCTGCCCCAGCCTTGGCTCATTGGGCTGCTTCTCTAGGTCTTCACACGGGACCCTATGGAAACATAAAATTCAATCTGCTCGTGCTAACAATCTCCCAAGTTTTGCCATCTCTCAGATACAACCCAAGTTCTCCACCATGGCTCAAAAGGCCACAGACCCTGCCCTTCCCTCCAGCTCTGTGGGCAGCACTGTCTCATCTCTCCCATGCAGACTCGCCTGCCCGCCCGCCCGCCCGCCATTCCTTCCACCGGCCATGCTCACCTCTGGGCTGGCATAGACCCACCTGCCTGCAATACCGTCCGTCCCTTGACTTCAGGGGGAGCTTGCACTCACCTCACTCAGGCCTGTCCCACCTCCATAGGGCTGTCAACCCCTGTGATGAACCCACCTCACTCCTCATCACAAGCCCCTCAGGGGCTTATCCCCAGCCCCAGGTCCTGCCTTATTTTTCCTGATAGCAATTATCGCTAATAAGTCACAGTCCCTCTTCCAACTGTCTCTCATATTAATCCACAAACCCCAGGAGGATAGGAACCCCTGCTGTGACCCAAGGACCAAACACGGTGCTCCGCAGTGCCACTTAGTGAATATTCGCCAAGCACATGGGTATGGGCCACCCACTCCTGTCCAACTCACAGTTGTCTGTGAATGGGCCAGGGTGGCCAAGGACTGGTCTCAAGAAGTACTTCACAATATGTTTTAAACCAAGACACAGGAAAGTTTTAAGACACAAACAAAGATCAGCTTGTTTGGAATAGAGGAATGCACCTCAAAACCAAGTAGGCTTTTGAATTAAACATCTTTGTATTTTAGTTGTCTAATTCATGCAATCTTTCAAAATAATCACCACTTCTGCATATAGCTCTTCATATCAAAGTCCTAAAGCTGCCACCTGCAGGTGTCTGAGATGCTAATTTTATTCAAAACTTGATTTTCAGAGTCTAGCCCACTGCCAGCTGCTGTCACTACTCACGCACTCTGATTCAAAGATTGTTACCACACCAAACTGGAAATCAGCTTGGGGATGTCCTAATGGGGAAAATACTTATTGGTGACAACAAGAATTTCCCTTCCAGAGCCTTTCCCAGCCTCAAGGAAAGCTATCTGAAATGCCAGCAATGCCTTCCATCAACGCTCTGGTGGCACAAGTCTGTCTGGGTGACGCTCTTCGGTGTAAGACCCTTTACTCAGAAGGGCAAGCATGTCAGGATGCACCCCTCAGCCACCCGGCCCAGGTCTTCACACAATCCGAGGCTCTTGCCACCATCCTTTCAACCACTCTCTCTGAACCTCCAGTGCCAGCTCTGCCAGCTAGGGGCACCATGGGGGCTTGGCGAGGCCCTGCCCCACGGGAGCAGAGACTGTCGGGGGTGGGGGACCAAAATTAGAGAAAAGGGACAGGTGACAAAGCAGAGGAGGGCCCAGGGTGACTGGAACAGGACTTGGGGAAATACCAGAGCAAAGTAAGAAAAAGTGATCCAAGTCCAGGCTTTCTCCTTCTGTCCCTGTGTCCGTCTCCTGAACCAGAGAGATTTCAACAGTCTCTGGACTACACCAGACCACCAGGAGTGCTTGCTAAGACCAGCCTCCAGACTGCAGCCCACAACACTGACATCTTGAGGTCAACGGAGGCCCATGCAATGCTGCAGCAGGGGTACTCAGCAGCACCCCTGGGCTCCACCCACCAGCACACCCCACCAAGACAATCAAAACTGTCACCACACACTGCTACATGTCCCACAGGGGATAAAGACATTCTTGGTAGAGGATGACTATTGTAGGGGAAAAGGGACCCTGGGGCGCCATTTGCAATCTGAAGAAGGAGGACAGCCCCCCGCACCCGGTCCCTTAAGGAAGGCTCTGGATCAAAGCCGCTGCTGGCCTTAGCCTGGTTTACTGAACCCTGTGATCTGCTTCCCACCTCCTTCCCTGTTCCCCTTTTCACGCCCCCTTCCTGGGCACCATGAGGCCACTTGGGCAATAGCTCATCTGCCACCTCTACTCTTGTTCCTACATCCACTTACAATGACCTGTCATCTCCTTCGAAACCCTGCTGCCACCTTCTCACTGAAACCTCCTGTGACACCTTTAGTGTCCCCTTTACCGTGTCCTTCAAAGGCAGCATCCCAGTGTCCTGATCACTCACCCCCTTTCTACAAGGAGCTCCATAGGCTTCCTCCTCCCTCATCACAAGCTCCTCAAAGGAGAGGTGGTCAGTATCCCTGCAGCCCCAGAATAGCTCCCAGTACCCAGCAGGTGCACAAATCAGAGCCCAGGGGGACGGCCCCCAGCGCACAGCAGGTGTACAGTCCAGCTAGGTGCCTCCCAGTTCTGGCCGAGGCCGGGCTGAGAAAGTCCCCCAGCTGCAGCCCACGTGCACACACTTCAGCAGCAGAGCACAGCATGGATGGCGATGGCCTAAGGGGTCATCTGGCCTAACCTCGTTTTACAGAGGAGGAACCCAAAGCTCAGAATGGGACACATGCTCCCACTCTAGTTTAAGGGCCTCAGGTAAGTCACAGTTGTCGCTGCTGGAATCCAGCCCTGCTGACTGACAGACAGACCTTTATTCCCCACCAGCCTCTCTTCCTGGCAGAGAGTGACCCTGCAGTAAACCAAGAGCTGAGGTGAAAGAAGTGACTGCTGTGGGCAGGAGACGGGAAAACCCCCAATGAGTCTGCTCATGGTTGTCCCTCCTTTGACATGCTGGCCTGAGGTGGCATGTTCCTTAAGCCACAGATAAACGAATTTGTCTATGGAAACACAAGAATTCACTCCTGCTGAGTCATAGAGACAATGACTCCAGGTACCGTGAATATAGAAATACACATCAACTAAGGTAGAAAATTAGAGCAATCATTCTTCAAAATTAGGTTCCCAAAAACCTATTCGCTCAATGATCTCAATATTTTAGGAAATAGTCCTTCTTTATGCTCCTTCTAATTATTGAATGTATTTGAATCTGAGGGAGCTTCATTTATCTTCCATTTATATTTGCTATAGTTCTCTTTCAACACTAACTAAGCAAGGTTTATACCCTTCCTATGAATGAGATGATAATCAGACTCACAGATAATTCCTCAGGACTAACCATATTTAAACAAGTAATTAAATTCAGCAAAAAATAAATAATAAAGTTGTCCTTATTTTCTGTAATTTCTAGGCAAGTAGCTCACTGCAAGACTGGTTTATTCATTAGGCAAATTCTGCAGTGAATAAAATTTAAGTGGTCCCAAGTTCAATGGCAGCAATGTCAGAAAAGAGATTAATGAGTCCAAAACTCCTGCACTAAACGGCACCTTTCTCCTGGTGCTCCAGCATGCTGAACATTTCTCTAAGTATTTCTCTGGGTAATCACAATAAAATCTCAAAAGAATGGCCTGGACCAACTGCAAGGGCGCTCTAGGAGCCCTGGTCAGCTTGGTCCTGCCTCTGCTCCCAGCTGTGGCTGTCTGAAACGTGCACGGGGCCTGGCTTGTGAGACTGTCTGGACGGGAACCCACTTTAGCTGACGGTCAGTTCCAGATGCCTTACACTGTGACCAGCCTGGTGCCCCACAATGGGGACTGTAGCCAACAATCTAGGCCCACGCCCCTGGACACCAGGGAAGAGCTGCAAAGCCAGGGAAGACAGGAGCTGACAGCTGGCCAGGGTCACGGGTTCTGGCCTGGAAACATATCATGAAGACTGTGGCATGTGAGACAGACAGTAAAGGCTGGGAAAATGTTGAAATTCAAAAATCAGAGGTAAAGACACGTTAAGCAAAAGCTATTGCGAGAGCAAAGGCAAGAAGACAGAAAAGGAGCAGAGTCGGGAACACAGCACATCAGAGGACAAAGGTCCAAGAGCAGCAGGAAAGGAGGAGTGATCATGAGGCTAGGAAACTGCTGGGAAGCATGAGCCTGAGCACTTCCTCTGGTAGGTGCTGGTGTGGCGCCCCTACAGACCCACACACTGCCCCAGGAGCCCCATCAGCACTGCAAATCCCACAGCCTGACTGTCCTTGGGCACCACAGACAGCACACACCAAACTCAAAGAGCAACTGACATCAGACCACACGTCATGACACTCCAGCCACTCGACCAAAACGACGACCAAGAAGAACTCCGCAGCATCCTCAGATTCCCAACAGAGTTTCTTCTTTCTGAACTTTCAAAGAAAAGGACCATCCAGTGTCTTTGGGAAGCCACAAGACTTTATTTTTTAAGATATTACTTCAGGAAAATCCAAGAGAGATATAAATCAAGACCAAAAGGGGCGGGAGGTAGAAAGAAATGTGGCCCTTTTCTAATGTCACTAAAAAGACAGAAATAGATTTATGCTCCAATACTCAAAATGAATCAGGCTATGAAGAACTCAACATCCTGACCCAGGAAGGCATCTTCCTTAAACCAAAAGTAAATGCAACTCTAAGTGTCACACTAGCCAAGGGGCAGATCAATCCTCCTGAGAGAAAAGCCAGCCATGGAGGGCTGTGGGGAAGGGGTGCACACAACAGCTATAAGAGTGCAGGCTGGGGGCCTTCACAGAAGGCAACCCCCCAGTAGTGGAGGTCAGCTCTGCAGAGATGCACGTCAACCACCTGCAGTTCAGGGGAAGAACACCACGTCTAGGACTCTCGCAGGACTTGCTAAGGTTCACGCCTTCTTTATTCATTCACACACACATTAAAAATAGAATACCAGAATATGTAAATACTTATGGTATCACTTTTGGAAATAGTAAAAAAGACTATCTACATGTTCATCAACAGAGTTATGAGTTAAATAAAGCAGGGTATACCTGTAAGAGAATTTTGTGAAGCAGCTAAAAAGAATAAGGTAATCTTCGTATGCAACAAAACCAAAAGATATTACAGATAATTTAACATCATGAGGACATATGAGGGTAGAATGGATTTCTTTCTTTTTTCTTTCTTTTTTTTTTCAGTAAGTACAACAGCAAGATAGAACAGGTTGTCCACAGTATTTCTGGGAACAATTCACTAGCAGGTAGGGTAGGGAGGAGGCAGCCATAACCTTTACCTTGGAACTTCTAAAGAAGCATGCTTTACTCTTGTAAATTTTTAAAGATGAAATCTAGAAAGGGTTAAACCACTAGGCTGGGCATCTAAGAAGAAACCTGAATCTTGCAATCCACCAGATCCTCCACTGCAGGATCATAAGGTCCTGGAGTAAGTGACTGGCTGGTGCATGATGATCCCAACCATTTGCCACAGGACCGAGCACTCACAGGCACTCCATGAATGTTGCATAAATGGAAGAATATGGAGCAGGGAAGACTATTTATTTGTGTGCAAAATTCCAGAAAGAGCTCTGTCCAGCTAAACAACTCCCCACACCTCATCACCACCCATGTGGACCAGAGGTCAGCACATCAGATTGGGAACACCAGACCTGAGATGCCCATCCGGACACTAAATATGTGATGTCCTCGCCTTGCTCACCCATGGAAGACAGGGCTCTCCTGACTCAGACACACCTCCAGCTCTCACTGGATGGAGAACAGAAGACACCGGAGGGAGAGGTGTTGGAGACTCTAGTCCACAGAAAGCTAGAGAAGGTGTAACTGTGTGGATCAGAGGCGAAGTCCAGCAAGCCAGGATGGCAGGTGGAGAATCACTGAAGGGCTCCAACCCCTGGAGGCAAGCGGAGCAGAAGCTGTGGCCTTGGAGCCAGGCAACGAGGGTTTGAATGAGTCCTGCCCATTAACAGCTACAGGATTTGGACAAACAATTTGAACTTTTCAAGTATAATTCCCCTTATACTCACACAGAAATGATATTACTTGCTTTTCAGAATTACTATAAGATCAAGGGAAGCAACACAAGTGCCCCACACGATGGCAGTTTGAGAACCAGTCACCACCTGACATCCCAGGTGTAGGCCCCAGCAGTGAGCACTGCCATCCACTCACTGCGCACTCCACAGACCAGGTGGACATGGAGCGCACTGCAAGCTGACTTTCAGGACCAGCACCTCATCTAAAATTTGCATGGAGTCTGCAACTTTTTAGACCAGAGGTGATCGCTTGGCACACATAAGCCTATCCTTTTGACTTTCCCTGGTTGAATCGAACCCCAGTCCCTCAGCTAACACTGCCAACTTCTTCTTTCTCCTAGCAATTTTTGACTCACCTACACTTTCTTTCTTGCTTCGTGGTCCTGACCCAAGTATGGAACTGTCAGGACTCTCTGTGCAACTTAGGATTCTCCACCCCGACTCTCCACTCCCACTGCCCCTTCTCAGGTTAGGTCCCCCATCTGCATAAGTCACCCCATGCCTGGCAGGAAAGACTGAGTTCAGAACGGTGCATGTGCCAGCGGTGCCAGGAAATAGAAGACGAGCACTCTGTACTTACTGGCTCACTTTATGGTACAACTTCGCAATGCCCTGGTGGGTCCAATCCTTCCCGAGGGTGGGCAAAATGTGGCCAAGGGTATCTGATCTAAATAAAGACAACGATGAGAAAAATAACAAGGTAATTCAAAGGGATTTTTAAAACCTATTCAAATTCAACACACCATTCATACTTCAATAAAAAATACGAACAAGACCCAGGACACTGTGGATACAAAGCCCAAGACTCAAGTCATCAAGTAGACTGGTCAGAACAGGGTATGAGCCACAAGAGGGCGCCTTCAGTCTGACCACAGGCCAAGAGCTAGGCTTGCTAAATTCAAGTGAAGAGGCGCTGACCATTCCACAGAGGCCTTCTCCAAAAGCATCCAGGTCAGCAACCAAGGCAGAAAGATGGCACCCCAGGGAAAACCACCCCCAGGCCATGAAAGACAGCTGCTGAGGCCCAGGAGCTGAACTCTGGAGTCCCACCAGGCTCCCGAGGAGGAGCATGAAGTCCATCTGGAGACCAGGCTCCCACACTGAAGTTGTCTTACCTCGTGATGGTGCCGTCAATATCAGAAATGACGACTTTATCATCCCAGTTCCACAGATAGATGGTGCCTTCACAGCGACAGGTGCCTTGATACTGTGTGGTGACACTGAAAACCACGTCATTGGGGCCATTCTTCAACTTCAAGCTTTTCTGAAAAATATGAATAACTGCGTCTGCTTGAGAGAAGGCCCACGGTGAGGGACATGGGCCTCTGTCTATGAGAAGGAAGCCAAAGTTCCAAAAGCAATCACAGCCCTGGGCCACCGTGAAGTTCCTCTCCTGCTGCTTGTTCTTGGTCTTTCTGGGACTGGACAGGCAACCTGAATCTCAGCTCCCAGGCCACACCCAGCACAGCATCACCCACTTCCCGTAAGTATCCTGCTTCCAAGGGTAATTCTGACATGATCCAGTGTTTCTGGACAGGGCTACATGAAAGGCCATGAGCCTTGGCAAGATAAACTGTAGTTACAGAAGAGACATGTGAAGGTCCTGATACGGAGACACAAATCTAAACCAAATGTGAAAATGTTCCCTAAATAACCATGTTTTTCATGCTTATTTAAAATGTGTTTTTAATGGTTATTTTACTGACACAAATTAGAAAAAAGAAGGCTCAGTTATCAGTCATTATCAGCCACAGAATATAGTGGTGACCTAAAGAAATCATACTGAATTCAGAAAGTAAAATGACATTTTGGGAGTTCTGAGTCTCTTTGCTGGGATGTTCTGGTGCATGCTAGCTGACTGCACAGACCCACAGGGATGACTTCAGGTATCCCCCAGATTGCTGGCAGGAGCCTATGTCACACAGTAACTTGCAGGCCACAGGACCTCATCCATGGCTAACATGGGTACCAGGGCCTGAACTTTTCCCATTAAATACCATAACTAGGACTGCTCCCCACTAAGTCAAATGCAAAAGACTCTATTTGCAAAATAGCAAGGATATTTGCTCTCTGAATGGTTATGGTTTGAAATAGGATACATGGACAGAAGGAGCCTAATTAAAGCTGGGCTACACACACACACACACCCCCCACACACACACACACACACACACACACACACACACACACACACACTTTCTCACAACACTATAACCAGATGATGCCCTGGCTACCTCATATTCTCCCCATCCCATTGCCTCTCCTAGATTTCCACCAATTTAAGAGATGCATTTGTGTTAACAAACATTTCTCTTAAGCACCCTGAGAGATTTTCAGAAGTCTATTAGTCACTGATGTCTTGGGATAAGGGAGCTCAATCAGGGTGCCTTCTGCTGGGTCAGGAAAAAGGGGAACTTGAGGGAAGTCACGAGGGGGCCCACCTCAACAGGTGTCGGCGTGGAAATACGCGCGGTATCCAAATGAGGGGTGTGATGCTGCCAGAGGGCAGCAGGTGCACTGGGGCAGGAAGGGTGCCACAAAGTACAAGTGGAAGGAGCATCCAAGCCTTCATACAACCCCAAAGTCTGTACAACCATGGCCCCCAAGGACATGGAGACAAAGCCACACTGAGTCCGGGAGACTCACCAGCTGCTCCGATGTGAGCCGGAGAGTCTTTTTGTAGCTGACGTTAGACAAAAGAGGGAGGTGGCTCACACTGGAAGGCTTGGCAGCTGCATGCTCTTCGTCACTGGAGGATGATTCGTGCTTTATTCTGGTACACAGTGATGTAATCACAAATTAGAAAATGCATCTGGGCAGCCATTAAAAATGCATTAGCCTAAGTCGATGACTCAGTCAATTGGGTCTCTCCGGAGAACTGTCTCCTGGGTGGTCATTTACCATATGGCATTAAATTTATCAATGAACCCTCGCTGCACCCCCCCATTCATGCAGCTCCTGCATTATTCATGCGGGGGTCACACTGCTCATTCACTTGCCTACTTTCTAGCCGCCACCACTCCCTCTCCACCAGCACATGTTCACTCCTCATCAGTAGGGTCAAATCCCTCCCGACCTAGGGATGCTGACACTCTTTTGCCTCTCTTCTCCTCCCATCTGAGGGGCAGGCCAAGCCCTAAGCGTCCAAATCGCACAAGTTCAACCTCATCTGTTCTCTGTATCTACCTCTCCAAATATGAGTCTACACAATTAGGGCACTTCCAGGACCTCTAAACAGGGGCCAGTGCAACAGGGAAGGCAGGCTAGTTCTCCCCCTGCAGGACCCCATCGGTCACCACACAAGCTGCCAGAATCCACAGCCAACACCCCAACTTTTCCACACACTCCTGTTGAGGGTGGGGGAGGGGGTCAGAGGAGCAGGGAAGAAATCAGTTTATAGAAAGCAGATCAGTAATTTGCTGTTCCCTAGATTAAAATCCTGCTACGACATCATCTCCAACCCAGTAATATCAGCTCTGCCTCCAAGGACCGTGATCTTTAAAAGCCACATGAAGTGCTTAATAAATGCCTTCCTCAGAATGTCAAAGGCTGAGCACTCCCAGCAGGCCCATCTGACCCCTCACACACCTATACGCAAGACTCCAACACACAGAGCTCCACCCAATCTCCAAAGAAAGCGCCGACTTTTCTGTGCCAATGTCCCGTGGCCTACCGCCTCCCGTCCGCCCTGGCATGCTCATTTGGGAGGCAGTACTGGAGACCCAATGCTGCTCTCCACCAGGAGAAGTGAAGGACACTGCCACACAGCATCCCTCTCAGTGGGCACACTGGGCTCTGCAGTCCCGAGTAAGCTGCCCCTCCCCAGGCACAGGCTCAGGAGAGGGTCTGTGGGCTTGTGGCCATGACCTGACTCACCCCCCCACACTTCCCACACTACTGAGCACTGACAATGCAGCAAGCAACCTGGCCCCTGCGCTCCTAGTCTGCGTCCATCCCAGCCTGGGCTGGAAATGTAGACTTGGTGTCTCTGAGACAAAGTCCCAAAGAGTAATTCCTGGTCAAAGGAGACAGAGAACACAGGCCAGCGCCCTGCATGATCCATGGCAGCTGAGCCACTTGTAGGTGGTGAGGGGAGATGGCGCAGTGTTCAGAATCGGAGGGACCCAGGTCTCGAGCCCGAGTCTGAGGCTCAGCACCTGGACAGGTCACTTCTTTGCTTTCTGGTCTTTCTTCCCCTTAGCCTGCCATGCGGGGAATACCACCTCCCACCTCCCCAAAACTCTAGAGCACAGGCAGGGAGCCGCCTGGAGAATCAGCCCCAGGAAAGGCCTCAGCAGGGGAGGATTTCTCTCCAGGCCTCAGCCAGCTCATCTGTTAAAGGACACCCTTCACCAAAGTCCCTTCCCTTCTAACATCTATGGATCCTGTGGACAAACCGGCTCTGCCCAGCCAATAACCTGGAGGCTTTCCAGCGCGGTAGACTCAGTCCTGGAGTCAGCCAGGCCTGTCAGACGTCCTCGTCAGCAGCAGGAGGACAAGGCTACAGGCCCTTACTGACAAGGAAAATGTTTATGTTCCAACCAAACAGTTTGGACTGAAATGAGATCCAAATGTGAATGGAAGCTCTTGGTGAAAACAGATTGATGTGTGCCTCTGCCGGGAAGAGGAAGCCGCAAGGGGAAGAGCTGTGATTTCCATCTGCTGCTTTAAAAAAAAGCCACAAATTCACGCAGCATACCATGTTTGAAGGAACACGGAGAGGAAAACACAGACACGAAGCCTAACGGGAGTTGTACAGTTGGCTGCCGGCACTGCCAGCCCAGGGCGAGGAGACGGTGGTTTACAGCTGCCGGCCCTCGCCACCCTTTGCCACCCAGCAAGGAACAAAATGCCTCCCATTCAGAGTCCCCACTCCCCTCCGGCAATGGCTCATTAAATGTCGCTTGCGCGATAGCCTGCAAGCAGCAGCACAATACAACAGGCTCCCACCACTTGGAAATCTGTGCTCGGAAGAGAGGCTGGGAACGGCCTCAGAGTCAGCCCTCTTCATGGCATACATTTTTCAAATGGTGTTTTAATTATTTGTATGGTGACAAGCTGTTTGCTCAATTATGGGACTTTGGGGACTGTTCTGTCAATCAAGTCTGTCAATTAGGAAATCATTCCAACGCCTTTTTTTTTTAAGTTATCTGCATGAATCTAATAAGCAGACTAAAAGTCTAAGATGCCAGTATAAAGTAAAAGATTCATATATCTCAAGAGAACTTTAGTCTTACTTCTTCTGAAATCTCAATTCATTGCACAAGAGTTAAAACTTTTCAGGTTTGATAAAGAAATGTTTGACTAATTCAGAACGATGAAAGGTCCAACCGCATCTACATAAAGGGAACAGCATTTCTCGCCAACAGGTAAGTGTGACCGCGACAGACAGTGAGGAGAGCCGTCACAGCTCAAGGAACTACAAGTTGATGACAACTGACAACCCAACTGGGAAGAGCTACTGAAATGTCCTGATGGCCCGCCACCCTCTGCCAGCCCAGTGTCCTCCTGGGGTGGTCCACACCACAGCCAGAAAGGGCAAAAACTGCAGTGGTGACAACAGTGGGGCTCTGCCAGTGGTTGTCCCCACCGGTCCCTTCTAACTCACCCCAAGATGGGTCTGGCTCACGGGTGGCACCACAAGAGAGTGGAAACTGCATGGCTCTAGACAGATACACACCCCTCAGGTGACCACAGGCTGGACCAGGGGCTTGTGCATTCTGGTCACCTTGTCACGAAGCTATCATGAGTGAGCATTAGTGAGTAGGAAGAAGGCAGGCCGTGAGCGCTGAGTGGGGGACCTGGAGGGAGAAGCAGGTGCTGGGCCCACTCTTACCCACTCCACAAATGGAGATGCTGAGAGGTGGGTATTCATGTGGCAGAAGCCCGCTCAGAGGCTGACAACGCCCTGCTTCAAATCCTACTCTGGTAGCTTGGTATTTAGAAACCGTTGGAGGGACAGAGGGGGCTCCTGAGAATTCCAGGAAAACAGGGCATTTCCTGTACAGCAAACCCTCTGGTTCAAGTGTTTACATCATGCAGCTTAGTACCCTTGCTTGTGTCCTCTCTTTGAAGGCTGCCACCCCCTGCGCCATCTCCTCCCAGCCCATGTGGGCATCAACCCCCCACTGGCGCCTTTGCTCAGATACATGAAGTACTCTGCCTGAGGCCACGCGTGAGCCAGGATTCCTAACCAGATCCACCCGACTCCAGAGGCTGCTGTCCCTGCTGGTCTTCCACATGAGGAGCCACTTGCTGAAGATCTCCTGGCTTCTCTCCTGGTACTGGACACACCCCTTCTAAGGACAGCCATGCTCTGCCGGGGCTCTGTTCTGAACACACCTGCCTTCACCCTTCCAAGCTCGCTCTGAGCCAAACTCAAAATTCCTGGAAAGCAACCAAATCATTGTGCCTGAGAGCCTGTCCCCAGGGAAAGAGCCAGAGACAGAGGGTGAGGGGAACAAACAGCAGCCCCCACACCCCAAGCCTAACACTAGGGTCTGGCTGAGTCTCAGGAAGGCACAGAGCAGCAGAGTCCAGGTGGAAACATACCACCGCTTGGGGTACCACCAAAAAAAAAAAAAAAAAAAAAACAGCAGTTTCCCTTCAAGAACATCCCAGCCAGATGAGTCCAGTCCCTGGACAGTCACATCCAAAAACAGTTGTCCCTGGTCCTGAGGAGTACTCTACCCACCTTATCCTTCTCCACAGAGAACAAAGAAATTAGCACATTCCCTGCTTGTCACCAACATGGCTTCCCACTTCCAGCAAATAATTCCAGAAAGAGAATTCTCTGTTTAAGACACTGACAAGAGGTCAGGACAGAGGACAGAAATCTAAGCCTGCTTCTCCCATAAACCCACCGACACACAGGGAAATTCCATCAGTGCAGCAGCATCCATAACAGGCCTACTCCAGGCAGGCACTGGCTGGCCTCCAAGGATGTGCCCACAGCTCATCTCTACCCACAGAACAAGAAATGCAGTCTGGGTTTCTCACACACAGAAAGGCTGCAAGGTGAAGTAAAAGGGATACTACCAGTGTGGACCCACTAGTATCAGCATGTCGATGTGGTCTGCCTCAAATTCCTACAAAGCTTAAGCTGAACACAAAACATCACTAACTGTGACCAGCAGTATTAAAACCTAATCTTTCCTATGTAAGTTAATAGGAATCAGTACATATTTAAACTGTACAGAAAGGGAAATCCTTCAAAAGGGAACTTATTTTCCCATCACCATGAATGCTCACCCGCCATCACCATCACCACATCACCATGGTGATGTTGGAGGACCACCACATGCAGGGCCATGAGCAATGCTCTAGTTCTTTTGTCTCATCTCAGGGTCACGTTGACCTTGCAAAGACTAACGGGAAAACCAATCTACATAATTGTCACTAAGGGCATCATAGAACTGGGCTGAGACCCAGGTGCAAGGCTTGAGCCGCTGTGAAGCCTTCAGTATCTATGCGCATGTGCACAGCCCTGGGTATGGAAAAAAGTGGCCACACCCCAACAGGGCACCCGCCTGTACCTGGTGGCCATGCTCAGCTGTGACGGCTGCTCTCCAGTGCTGTGGCCCTTTCCAGCCAAGCACTGCTCAGGCTTACTCTCCTGGAGAAGAAGAAAAGAAAGTCAAGAAAAACCTCTTGCACTAAAGCTCACATTCCGCCATGGGCTCCCCAAGGACAGGCAGACCCCCAAGGTGGCCCTTCCCAGGGGCACACACCCAGGGATGGCTCAGGAGGCTCTGGGTGTTTTCATTTGGGCAGGTCCCAGTTACTCCCTTGCTTATATGATTAAGCTGAGAAATATTTTTGACAGAAATGAGTGTTATCCATAAGTGTTCATGGCACAAAACCAAACTCCATCATTGCCGCAGCGTATGCAAACGCTTTTATCAAGGGCTGCTTGGATTCCTGTGGGCTTTCAAAATATTTGCTTTAAATTGCCAATAGAAATGCTTGAAAACGTTTTCACACCATATTTTGCTTGGGGAAAATGTTGAAGCATCTTTCTCTCTTTCAATACTACAGTCTTAATAGGAAATGTTCTGGGGTATATTTGGGAGAGCCTTAGATTTCTAAGGAAACTCCAGGCCCCAGGCTTTTTCTCTCACTTCTTTTGGGGCAAGTCATGGAACTTCTCAGAGCCTCATTTCCCCATCTGTGAAACGGGTGAGATCACTGAGGCCCAGCACTGCAGTGAAGACGGAGAGACGTGCTGTATACACAGCATCAACCCCAATGATGGGCAGACACCAGCCCCGCAGACTTCCCACCAAGTCAGATGGGGCCAGACAGACATGCCAGGGCACAGAGTGAGACCTCTTTATCTGTGGTCCTCTGGCTAAGAGGCAAGTTAATACTTCCACTGCAGCACTTTAATAAAGAAAAGGAACAACACAAACCCCATCACCAGATACCCTTCCCCACATACAATGCATATAAACTTGTTTTAAATACTTGTTAATTTTTTTATGAATACACAAAAAAACTGACATAATATACCCAGTTATTTTTTAAGGAAACTTTGCCACTACTACTAACAATTTTTATTTAGTTTACTTGTGTTAAATAAGTATATTTCTGCTTTTTTTTAGAAATGTTTAATCCAATAAATGCTCCTTACTTCATATAAGCATTCCCTCAATTATAATCAGTAGAAACAGATAAAATAAAGAGGTCTTTAAAATATTCTTCTATCTTAAACTCTAGAATATTCTGCCCAGGACTGCAAATGTAGTTCAAAAAAGTATTTGCTTGACGTGCATAAAGCTCTGGGTTAGATCCCCAGCACCATGAAAAATAAGTAAATACACAAAATAGAACATTCTGCCCTCTAGTAAGAAAATTGGAAAGCCTTTCACACTTCTGATTCTCCATGTGAAAGCATGTATTTGCTCTAGCTTGTTTGTAGACCTCAGAAGTAAAGGGACTCACATTAAAACTCAGATGTGCTAACAGAAAATGTCAAAGAGCACCTCAATCTTGATAAAACTCTTCAATAGAACTTTTGCCTTTGAACAAATGGTACATTGAGTCCGATGGGTTTTCTTTCACTAGTTAAATAATATCATGATCACTACACGCTGCATTCCAAAGGTGATCATCATTCCCTCAACAATTACTACCAAAGCCCCAGTCCAAGGTGAGCTCCAGGACTGCACCCCAGAGTCAAAGTTATGCATGGCCTCTCCCTTCATGGAGCTTAGGGTCTACCAGGAAAAAGACATGCTATTCAACAGTCAGACTACTAAGTGTATAATTATAAACTCTGATGCAATTTATGAAGGAAAATCTCATAGGTAAGACTTCGAGAACAGAGAATGGTAGAACACATTAATCTGCCAAGGGGAACTTGATCAGCTGGTTAAATAATAGCAAGGGAGTGTTGAGGGTCCTATATTCTCTGGGCAGAGAAAATAGTAGGTGCAGAGCCCTGGGGTAGACCATTGACTTTTAGCAGTTCTATTAAAGCACAGAAGGCAGGAGGAGAATGGTAAAGATAAGGCTGATGAGCGAGACACAAGAAGTAAAGTATGTGGGTCTGGAAACCTCAGTCTATAAACAGGGAGCAACATCAACTGGACCATTATCCTAACTAGAACGATCCAGCTACAGGACAGAGAACCAAGAAGTGGGGGCGGGAACAGCTACACAGACCATTTGAGAGATGACAGCAGTTGAGACTTATGGGGTGGAGCTGCAGAGAAATGGATAAACAGGAGAGGCATTTATGATGGTAAGCCAAAGGGATCGAAAGGGGAGCGATAGAAGGGAAGCACCTGGCCCGTGAACAAACAGTGACACCATTTTCTATCTGTGGCTCCAACGAAGGAAGAGCTCTCTAGCGTACTAGGAATTCCATTTTAGAAATGAGTCTAAATGCCTTGAAGCTCCCCCGTGGAGGTGTCTGTCTGGTTGGCCACTCATAAACAATCCAGGAGGGACAAGGCACGCCTGGCCGGGAGATGAAGATGGGTCTCCAGATGCAGGGATGGAGGGCCAGGGAAAGCAGGGGCTATAAGCAGAGGAGAGGCCCGGGGACTAATCTTGAGGTCCTTCAGAGAGGGCCAGCTGGGGGGAAGCCATTGGATCGGGAGGAAAGCCAGGCCGCCCAGCCAGAGCCAGTGCACAAGTGCTCACGAGACAGCTGAAAGCTGGACGCAAAGGATGGCAGACGTGGAGGGAAACCAGAGCTGCGTCACCTAGACAGCCACCTCAGGGGACAGATGGAGAGAACCAGGTCACTGTGCTGAGAGCACAAGAGGAAGGAAGGTACCGAAGTTTCTTAATTAAATTCTCACATTGAAACCCTTTTTACAGATTGGACATGAGGTTTCGGTGAAAGAACAGACTCTCCCAAGATGACCAGACGGGGCCTAAACAACTGGAAGGAGGAATGTTCTACTTACTGCTGGAGGAAAGACCACAGGTGGATCAGACAGAGGGGAGTCAAAAACTCCACATTGAACCTGTTAAATCTGGGGCATCCATAAGACATACCTGAGTGGAGAAGTAACAGGGCAGCTGGTGTGCAAATGTGGAGCTCGGGGAAAGAGTCCCACTGGAGATGAGTCTGCACACGCCAGTGGGGAGACGGCAGGTAAAATGAAACCGCCTTGGGGCTGGGGATGCGGCTCAATGGCAGAGCTCCTGCCTGGCATGGGCAAGGCTCTCGGTTCAGTCCTAGCACCACAAAAAGAGCCAACCGGAAGAAATCAGCAAGGCAATGGATCTCTCTGGAGAGCAGGTGCAGGGACAAGGGCTGTGTACAACATGCCCCCAGCAGGGAGCGACCTGACCAGGCTCCTACCTGACAGTGACAGATGCAGATGGGAACTGCCTCTGCTCATTCCTCACCCTCTGTCCCACCCTCCCCACACTCCGAATGGCAGAGGCCATTTTGCTTTCTGTGCTTACCTCTTTGATCGTGGTGTTTCTTCCCCTCCAAGAAAACCACCATCTTCCTCCCTTTTTGGGCATCTTATCCCTCATGATAGATTCCACAGTGGCCTGTTTTAAATGGATGGTGACATAAATAATGGAACCAAAAAAAGATCAACTTAGCAATTTCAAACCAAAATAAACAGACATGCAAATTAAAGAAAGATTAAAAAAAAAAAGTCAGAGAGAGAACAACATACTAATTGTGAATTAAGAATTTTAGAGAAGCAAAACCTAATGGTGTCCAAAATTTCATGAAGGTAACTTAAGCATGAAGACTTAAGAGGATGTTAAAGAAAAAAAACAAACAACAAATAAAATACAACACAACAACAACAACAAAAAAGAAAGCATTAAAAAATCATTAGTGATTAGTAAGACCAGAAGTTTTCAAACTAAAGTGGCTAATTGATCAAGATACTGTTATGTTCAATATGATGATTATAAAATAAAACATGAAATGATTAATATGGTACAGGATAAAATGATCTTAAACAAAAGGAAAAATTCCCATGACTTTTTAGTACATGTCAGTTTCCAAATTTTGACAAACTGAACTTAGATGCAAATGATTTAAAATCTCAAGTACTACAAAGAAAATTCACATTGACACCCTAAATACATGGAAGTTTAATGGGGAAGATTAAATATGAATTAAAAATCTTCTAAGTATTTCCAAATAACAGTATCTTAAGGCTAATTCCAAGACCCAAGTAAATGTTATCTCCCTTCCCTTCCTCGGTTTATAGAATTTTGAAGTAGCTGAGACCTTGGCTAAGAACATGGAAAGATGATCTGAGGTCCTTCAGCCCAGCAGGAAGCAGCCAAGTGGAAAGGGAATAATCCACAGGGTTGGCCTGAAGTCTGCTACTTTTCGCTGTCTAAAAGATCCTGATCTGACCCCAAAGAAGCCCTGATATACCAAGATGTAAGTCATACATACATCAGTCATGAAAATGATAATGCATAAAGACATCAATACCCTGTCCCCCCAAACTCACCCATAAATATAACAAACCTCCATCTGGGGGGGGAAATAAAAAAGAAAAAGAAACTAACAGTGTGATGCTTCAGATGCAGACACACTGATTCTAAATTTCATTTGAAAACAAACAAAAATATCCAAGAAAACACTTATAAGTAGAAAAATAAGGCACAGCCCTCCAGGCTATTAAAATGTATTTGAAAGCTACAGTAATTTAAAAACGCAGTGTTGATCCATAAGTAAATACGTCACTGGAACAGGAAACCTAAAATTCAGAGTTAGCAATAAATTTAAGTACATAGAGAAACTGAGTGTGATGGAGTTGTGACTGCCAATCAGAGGGGGAAGGTTATTTAATAAATGATATCAAAATAATTCAGCTGCCTTGTCAGACCCTGGGAGCTTGATTTCAGAGAAGAAATCAAGTCTCAAACCAGTCTCCCCTTTCTTTCCTGGCAAAAGATCCAAAACTCGATACTCAAGAACCAGGGTGCCATGAAGCACTGGGGAGGCGGAGACGAGTTCCGGAGGATGGACCCTGACCGGCTGTGCCTTTCCAGTCACTCCACCACCTGCAACACTGGCCTTGGGGGTGCTGGAGCCTGGGCCAGTGAGACACAAGGAAGCCGCCCACCCTCCCTGCTGTGGGTGCTGCTGTGTAAGGAAAGTACACAGCAATCATCCCGTGACAGCAAAGGAAAAGCCAGGGACATCAGAGAAGAAATCAAGTCCCAAACCAGAACATCTAAGACTCTCATTATGATAAGAATTATTATCATAATAAACCCACATGATTTAGGCCACTTTTAGTCACTGTGCTTTCTAAATGAAAAGTATCCTGATCCAGTAACCACTTGGGAAAAAAATTGGTTTGGTTCCCAAAACCTCCCCTCATTCCTCTCAAACTAAAATATAGATTGGTCAAAGATTTAAAATAAAGTACTAGAAGAAAATACAGAACCATATGTCACTAGTTTTGGAAATGGGGAAGGCAGACCATTCCAACTGATACAAATCCCAGCAGCCATCAAAGATAAACTCTGCAAGTCAAAAAATCTACTGCCTAAACCTGTTCAGTGTTCATATCACATATCACAGGACTAATTTAAGTTTTACAGCCATGTGTATTTATTTTCCTGTAAATTAAATTAATTAACTATATTTCTATTGCATTGGTCTTTTTTTCTTAAAAATTTGCAAAACTTGAGAAATTTAACATAAAAAAATTTATCCCAGGCCATGGATACCTTGAGAAATCTGGCAAGGACAACATAAAAACCACTCTGTTGATCATGCCTCAAAGTCCACAAACACACACACACATGTGCACAAATACACCACCACACACACGTACATAAACACATGTGCATGCACATGTGTACACACATATGCACACACATGCAAGTGTGCACATATACACAGGTATTGCACACATGCACACACATGCATGTACATATGCATGCACACCACCATGCACACACCTCCATACACGCATTCATGTACATGTGTGTGCACTCACATGCACACGTGTGCGCCATGCATATATGCACACACAGTATGCACACATACATACCAATATGCACACTCATATGTTCACATACACACATGTACAAGCATATACACAGGTACACATATAAGCCTATGCACACACATACATGTGTATGCTCGCGCATGCATACACATGCACACATACAAGTACACATATGTGTGTGTACAGATGTACATACCTGCACACATGCATGCACATATACATGCATGCATGTACACATGCATGCACACATGCACATATAGAGAGATGTGCATATACACACACGCACACACATTGAAGGAGCAGCACAGACTCAACAGTAGGATTTGACCTCCAGGACCTCCAGCATTAGAACTTTTAGACTACAACAGCTCGGCCCCATGGAGCACTTGCTAAGTGTACCGAGGATACGAACAAGTCTAAGATGGCATCTTACACAAAAACAAAGTATAATTCAGTAGGCAGACGTAACATTGAAAAAATTCACAACTTCAGGCCAAGTGTCCAGTGGGCTTCCCGGGGCAGGCTGAGCACACCATGGGCTCACAGGTGGGATCTGCCCTCCTAACTGGACCCTTTCCTGCAGGACTCACCTACTGTCACATGTAGGCTTCGAGCTGCCAGATCCTGGGGGGCTCTGGCCCTGAAGATCTGGGTCTGATACTCTGCCTCCCTGCCTACTGCCACCCACCCTCACACGGCTCTGCCCACTGACCATCATATGCTCCTTCCTACCCATCATCCTCGTCTGCACTGCCACAGTGGGAGGTCTGCCGTGTAAAGAGCGGGAAGGTGTTCAGGGTGCAAAAGGGACACCTGGCCTGCTCCCAGACTTCAGGAAAGCACAACATAACTATCAGTGAGGGTCTAAAATAAATGTTCCATATCAACCCCACCCCACTCCCACAACACAGACATCACTTAGTGCCCCATTTCTTTGTCGGGTTACAGCTCACCTTTGGCAAAGGTTTCTGGAAGGCCTGCATTGCCAGCAGTAGAGGTGCTGCCGTCGTCCAATTATAATATCTAACAAAACAATGAGAAAGTTGTCACTAGACCATTGCCCAAACCTAAAGTCTTTTTTTTCTTTGGTACTGGGGATTAAACCCAAGTGCACTGCACCACTGAGCTACTTCTATAGCCCTTCTTATTTTTTGAGACAGGATCTCACTAAGTTGCTCAGGCTGTCCTTAAACTTACAATCCTCCTGCCTCAGTCTCCCAAATTGCTGGGATTATAGGCAGATACCACCACACCCAGTTATCATCATGCCAATTGATGATAACTTTCCATGGAAAGTTCTGGAATGCCAGTGAGCCCTCAAGGAGCTCAATACTGCTGCTCCCTTCCTGTCCTCTCCATAGACCCCAGCCACACTGGCCAGCAAGGGGCCCAGCTGCAATCATGGCAGCAGGATAAAACCTAGACTTGATGTCAATGACACTGCCAAGTCCCAATGAGTGACTGCACCAAGCACCAATGCTGGGGGAGGGGAACCAGGTAGTCTACATTAATCAATAAAATGTCCACAATTTCTGCTCAGAGAAGTCCACAGAGACACCTGCACCTCCCTTGACTTTGCATAATGGCACTTTTGAAAAGTGGGCTACTCAAGGTCCCAGGCTACAGATTAAACTCCACAGCTTTACACCATCAATTATAAAGTCCAGTGCAGATGAATACTGAAACCCACAGGCCAATCATCACCTCGACCTATCAGCTACGCAGGCCAACAGTGAGGACACACAGGACACCTCACAACACCTGTGTTTCATCTGCTTTAAAGTTAACATCCAGGTGTCTGTACTGGTGGGAACCATGGGGCCCGTGTCAAGCTGCTGCCAAGACAGGTACTCACTTATTCCCGATCTTCACCACAAGATTGGGGTCATCGATGATAGCAGGGTTGTCCACAAACTGCTGATAGGACACAGCTTGCTCCAAAAACGCATCTATAATGGCATTTGTAAGGAATAAATGAGAAATACAAAGGGAATTGGGCCCTCATTCATTCACAAGTATTTCCAAGAGCAGAAGTCTCCACTGCGCACACAGCCTGTAGAACGGAAAAGGCGCCCGTGCTTGTTTGGGGCAGTGTCTGCACTAACATGAAGGAGGCTGCAGTCAAGCCTGCAGGTGTGGAAGACATGTGTTCTCCCACACACATGGGAGTGGTGCGTGTGCTTGCACAGAGGGGCATCCACACAGGCAATCTGATGGCTCTGCAGGGCAGGGAAGCCAGGCTTCAGCTTAGTCACCCCAGTTGGTAATGGGGCAATTGACTCCTCTCCCCAGGCCTCAGCCTCCTTTGCAGCACAGTAATGAGGGCAACTTCCTGGGGGCTCATGAGGAAGGACAAGGTCACGCAAGGAAAGCAGAGTGATCTATATGGGCAGCTGTGGCACTGGAGCTGTCGTCTGTGGGAAGAGGGGTGATGGTGTGAGACCCAGTGCTAACCGTGCCCAGCCTCAGGGGAGAGGCAGCACCACTGGGCCCAGGGCAGCAGGAACAGGAGGACACTCAGTGAGGGGCTGCGGCCTGAAACCCTGGCTTCCACTCAACTTTCAGTTCAGCTGGACGGTCCCTTGGGCCTTGACCAGGGGTCTGACCATCTCCCTGGCCCTGACCCATGCCCACACCTTCAAGACCCATCGGATATTGAGAATCACCTCTGTCCATGGGCAAGCTTGGTCATGAACAGCAACCCAGATTGGCCAGAACACATACCCGCAGAGTCCCGAGACCACGGGGTCTCTCCTCAGAGCTCCTGACCTCCTCTGCACAGACAAGACATTCTTGAGCTCCCACCCATGAGCCAGCTCAGGTGACCCACCTGTCCCATTGCTGCTGTCCCCTCCCCCACCAGCTGCATGTGTACTGAGGAGGGGGTGCCAGCAGGACACTGGCCCCCTCATGCCTCTAACTGGTCCCAGGAGTGTGCTTGTCCCATGGTGACCTCAGGAACACACTGGGGTTGGCTATTAAATGTGTGATCTTAGAAAGACGCCACAGAGCAGCAGAATCAAGCCCACCATGAAGGACCAGCTGGTACGGGGGCCAGAACAGGGGCCCCAGTCTTTATGTGAGAAGAAATTTTTAAAGTCTAGAGGGGACTTTAGGATGAAGATGGGTCCAGGATGGTTTCCCTGGGCAGGAGAGAAAAGTGGCGTGGCTCTTGCATGGCAGGGCCTCCACCCCATGTCCTGCTAGAAACAGCGGCCACGGGACAGAAGAGAGACCTGTGGTGGTGGAGGGGCAGTGCTGGCAGCTGGGTCACTAGACTCTAGTAAGAGTCATCAGCCGACAACTGCCAGCAGGAGCGGAGTGGGGGGGTGGGGGTTCCTGGGTGTCTCACCATGTAACTGTCACTAGGAAATCACTGTTCGGAATACATCAGATGCTATGAATTGACCATCCAAGCCTGCCCTAATGGCACCCTTCACCCGGCTGGGAAGCATCTCCACTCTTCCTCAGACAGACTACCCCTGAGCCCCCACACCTTCTGCACACCTTCCCCTGCACCTGCTCTGAGAAGACCGCCGTTTCCCCAGACAGTGGGCCTCTGAAAGACAGCTTTGCAGGGCTGACCAAGGCACAGGGGACACCAGAGGTGCTCAGCAAACACACATGATGACTGACCCCCAGAGCCTGTTGTTGCCCAGAACCATGTGTAACCAACAGCACCCCAGGGTCAGCTGATGGCCAGCCAGGAACTCTGGGCAGAGTAACAGTGAGTGGCTCAGCCAATCCGACCACAGCCAGAGGCCAGCTGCCTCCGACATGACCCATCACAGCAGCCCACACCTGGGCCTTCCAACCACGGCCACAATACCTTTCGTGATTTCCCGGTGGTCACTGAGGCCCCCACAGAGGGAGATGGCAATTGATGGCAGGTCCCTCAGGCCGTCCGAGGTGCTCTCCATGCCACTGTCAGCACCTGAGCTGCCCACAGAATGCGGGGACTGGTTGGCTGACCGGGCTCCGTTGTCGCTGGTGTGTTTGGCGAGCGAAGGAGGGTCTCCGCTGGAAGAGGGAAAGCTGCAACTGCTGAGGGTTCCCCTCCTGGGTCCCCCCGCAGCACCACATGACCCCTCAGGACAGGCTTGTCACTACAGCACCCAAAGGTAAATGAACTGCCTTGAAGAGAAAGCACCTGTTTGCCACCTGTTACATTCTCCCTGTACCCTCCCAAACCTGGGAGGGCACGGGTCTCGACTCTCACCCTCCCAGACACGGCCCTCCCTACAGCCCAGGAGAGCTCACACTGGGTCCCCAGGACCACCAGAAAATCTCCCCGGGGAGGGAAAAACAGAGCTGCCAGCTGCTCTTACTTGAGTTGTGGCCACTGGATGCTGAGACCCAGCTAGCCCCGGACTTCACTGTGCCACCCATTCCCAGCCCCCAGCCTCTCACCCTCATGTCCCCAGAAGGTGGGGGTGCCGCAGGCCCACACAGGTCGAGCAGGCCAGGCTGCGGCTCCCACTGCTGTGCTCGCCCACTTTCCAATCAGGCACCGTCAACACAAGCGGGACTCACACGAACTAATGCTCAAGTTAGTTACAGAAAACGAAAGGAGGAATTAAAGGAAATTTTACTTTTTGGGAAAATACAGGGCTGCCACCTCAGGATCCATGTCTGTGAGGTCGTCCAAGTAGACGCCATCAGCACCGAGGTGTCTGCTTCGTTTATCTGAAGGAACAAATGGAAGCAGTTGGAAAAGTGCTCTCCAGAAACCACCTTGCGGACCACACCTCCAGGAATAGCATTTTAGCTCAACATGCAGATGTGTCTCTAAATACCCAAGGACTAGGGTAAGAGGTGCAGTGGGCAGCCTCGTTGCAGGGCCAGCTGCCCGGGTCTGAACCAAGGCTCCAGCTTCCCACTGTGCGGTCCTGATGGAGCCCCATGGCTGCACTCAGCCCCAGCCCGGCATCCAGAGAGAGCCGAGTTGTCCTGAGCCCTGGACGCACTGGAGCCATCACAAGATCATCACTGCTATTAATGACCAACACTTTCATAAAGCACTACCCGTTAACACCCCGAGACACAGCACTCTAACTTGGGGCACAGCCAATCGCTGTGCACCATGACTTCAGACTTCCTCTCCACAGAAACTGCACAGAACTGCCTGGGTGATGATGAGGCTCGGCATCATCGCCACTAACAGGCAATCAGGGGAGCACCTCAGATTCCCAGATAGGAATGCTCAGTTAGTAGAGTCTACAAAACTACTCTGAAATCTGTGGTCCCCAGAATTCCCAGGTATTGAGGATGAGGGACACTCAACATGCACACTCAGCAAAAAAGCACAGATACTAAGACTGTCGTGGCTCGTGTCTGCCTCGAGGCATTCTGAAGTGAACTCTGGGAGGAAGGAATTCAAGTGCCCAGTGGATGCGAGTCTCTGGGAATGAGCTGGGCGCAGGCCTCACACCTCTTTTCCGGGAAGGAGAGTCCATCTTGCTCGCAGTGGGCACTGCACTGGCAGCCGGGGCCTTGAGTTCTTCCGCCATAGGCAATGGCGGGGCTGCTGCTCCCAAGGCCTCTAGGTCTTCTTCACTGACAAACTGCATCTCTGTCGGAGGCTTATTCTGGTCTGAAAGAGGCCCTCTGGCCAAAGTTGGTGATTGGTCACTAAAAGTATCTGAAGATTCGCTGTGAATGGTCTGAAAGTGAATTTTATCACAAATTTTTCTACTGCACAGTGGGCTGGACTCTTTCATCTTGTGTGGAGAAGACGACTAGACCAAAACAGAGAGAGAGAGAAGGGAGAGATTTGAGAACAGGTCCAAGCATGAGCAAAGAGAAAAATTGACTCAAGCCATCTGTGGCAGAGACTTAAACCTGGGATTCACCAGGGATTTCCACACTGCCCAGGGGCCTAGAAACCAAGAATAGAAGTTCCAAAGCAAATGAACTTGCATATACAATATCAACTGCTAAAAAGAAGTAAATGAGATCAGTAATGGCCAAGGAGTGGAAGCAACCCAAGGTCCCTCATCCTCAATACCTGGGAATTCTAGGGACCTCAGCAAAATGAGAAGCAGACTCACACAATGGGATATTTTGCAGTGATGAGAATAATGCATTACAACTACTCAGAATGATAAGGATGCATCTTGCAAAACTAATCTCTGCTACTGCAAGACAGAACGCTCATCTTTGTGGGGATGGAGGGGTCAGCACGGCCCTCCATGCTGCTGGTCTGGTCCTGCCTCTCCCTCTGGGAGCAGGGCGCCTAGATGAGCTCACACTGTGAAGACTTCCTGAGCTCCCACTTGTGATCTGTGTATTTCTCTATGCCTGTGTTACATTTCATTACTAAGTTCACCCCTAGATCACAAGTGATCGGGGGTTGCTTGTTCAAATGGGAGGGGAAATCTCATTTCTGATTCTACTGCACTAGAGATTACCTGCTGTGGAAAAACAGGACTCAAACAAAAACCAAAATGACATTTTCAGGCTAGGAAGGGAAGGGAATGCAGTTACTCTTCATCTGATCTGCAATGTCTACTACAGACAAAGCCACAGATCTGTGGTTACAACTGTAGAAGTGATAAGTCTGCATGTTCACACTCTGCCTCAAGCAGACATGAATTTGTAAAGCTCGCTGGCTGGGTCACCACTACAGCTCATGGGCAGAGAATCAGCATTTATATAAAAGTTAAGCACAGACAAGAAAGGGATGGATTCACAGCTTTAGCTCTCCAAAAAGCTGCCCACCTGACGCTGCAAGAAATGCCTCCAATCTGACTCATTCCTTCCTTCACAAACGGTCATTGTGGTACAGGAGGCTGTGACCTCTTCCAATGACCTCAAGTTTTTGTTTTTTGGGGTTTTTTTTTAAGCTGACAATATGATAGAATTCGAAATATTTATAATACATTGGAATACAAGAAAAAAATTTTTCAAAGAAAGGACTGTGTCCACTCCTTACTTTTAGAAACCCATCTGTTGCCACTTCTGTGTACTTGAGGTCAACCAACTACATTGTGCAGCTAGGGAATCAGGCTAGGTATGTGGCACAAACAAGGAGGAAAAAAGCAAATATTCAAAGGGCTTCTGCAAGCCACACACTCCACACATAGTATCTCTTCTAATCTATGGTCTTCTCTCATCTTACAGGTAACAACACGAGGCTACCTTTCTAGAGAGTGCTGGAGTGCAGAGTGAGCTGGCCTCCCAGGGCCTCCGCACCATGCATTCAGCTGCTTCTCTGCTTGCTGTTCAAAGAGTCAGATTCAGAGCTCTATCAACAATGAGGGCCCAAAAATATTTACCACTTGACAAATCAAAGCCTGAGAATTTCCTGGTTTATGAGGCTCACAACCTAGTGTCCTAGTCCACATCTGCCTGAGGGACACAGGAACACATGGATCCTGGCCCTCATAGCTCACTCAGCCCTTGATTCAAAGGGCTCAGCCTCAAGTGTCTCTTCCTGTGGTGCTTCTCCCATCACCACTGACCTCGCGGAAGTAACGCTGGGTGGGACTTTCTGTTTATGGCTTCTAGACACTGTGGTTTCTGTATAGGTTTTTTTTTGTTTGTTTTATAATTTTATTTTAGTTGTAATATAAATTGAAGACCCTTAGAGAGATCCTGTATGTTTAAAATATATAAATGCAAGACCCTTTTATAATGTTGGTAATGCACAAAAAAGCAACTCTGCTGTTCAATGTGGTTTTGTTGACTAATATCTCCTATGGTTACGCTTTGCTGTGATGTGACATTAATTGCTCATCATTAAACTTAGGTAGAAATCCTCCGTGTCGGGCGGGATGGAGGGGAAGACTCACCTTTGCTGCCTGTGGCAGCTCTCCCCAGAGCCAGAGCATTTCTAGGTTGCTCTTCAGTGCTGACCTGTCCGTCGACTTACTGACCAGCTCGGAATCACTTTTAGGCGTTGAGGGTCGGGAACCTGAAGGACTTAAAAAAATAAACCCATAATTTAGATAAGGAAAAACAATTTCCATTGCTTTTTGTCCAGGTCTGTGGTTCAAATAGCCCAGAAAATGCACCCAACACTGTCATTCTCTATGGAGCATAGCCTCATGACAATTCCTGATTTAGCCACCAGGGGTCCCGCATCTGTCTCTAGGTGTGAGTGGTCCCAGGGGGCAAGTCTTAAGAACCCGCTGCCAAGCAAGGTAGACAGTGAGAAATGGCTGTAGTGAGAAAAGGAACATTGAGAAAGAGAGAAGCAAAGGTAAAGGAAACTAGTTCCCTCCACCAAGACTACCATCCTTTCACACCTGTCCTGGGCTCGCCTCCCTGACTCCTTCCAAATCAAGTGTCCCAACTCCCAGACGGCTTCAGAGGATCCTGGCCAGCTCTGACATTACATTGAATATTGAAAATATTTACAAATCTGCATTAGTTCTGAAAACTAGAGAAACTGTATCATGTAGCAATTTCCACAGAGAAACTCTATAACAAGGCAGGAGCATCATCTCCCAAGCTCTCTTCCAGGGACACTCCCAATTTGCTAAGGCTCCTTCTGCACTGACCTCACACCACTTCACTCAGGCCAGCCTCTAAGTAAGTGGCTGCAACAGGCTGTTCCCTCCAGGTTTTCTATATTTTTACTCCTAACACCTGAACAAAGTTTTACTTCTGTCCAACCAAACTGGATAAAAGAATCAAATATGTTCAAGATTCCCATAGCACACTAAATAACAGAGACAAGAAGAAAATACCATTTACTTAATTCTTGAATTATTCCCCTATATCAATTTCCTCCAAGGGAAGATGGCAGAGTCTTTAAATAAAGCAGGAAACAAAGAGACCACAACTTCCCCTCACATCTCCTTTCACAGACCTTATCTAGCCTCCTCAGCAACCTCTCATTGATGCGCACGGTCTCCTTTATCTGTCTGAGTTAGAGTTCAACTCCAGCTGAATATAAACACTTTCCTCTCAGTAAAGGGAGAGCTAATGACGGTATGTAACTTGTGGCCAACAGAGGTGTTCCCTGTGGCTAACCGGATGTCCTTTAGTCAACTCATTTGCAGCCAACACACTGAATGCGCTCTTCCCACTGAGGTGCACATAGGCTGGTCCCTCCCACCTTGGTGCTGGCTGACCACTGAGTTTTCCAGGTGGCACGAGCTATGGGGCAGCCCCCACACTGCAGTTCATCTTTCTATGGGGAGGAGGCTCCTGATAAATCACACTACAAGGCTTACACCGTGAGACAGTGGAAGTGTATGTCTGTGTGTGTGTGTGCGTGTGCACACGCACGCACACACGCGCACACACACACACACAGTTATACTCTTAAGAAAGCTGTCCATGAGGAGGAATACTGGGTCCCGCACCTGCCTGCCTGGGTGGGGAGGGCTCACTGCCCCTCATCATCCTGCTTCCTCTCCCTCTATAACTGTGCTTTCCTCTCCTGGCACTCATGTGTCCGCAATCACATGTTCATACCACTGAAGCGAAAAAGGGAGGGCTGTGGCCCCTGAGTCCACTTCCCTGGGGCCCTCACGGAAGTCCACCCTGACCAGCTTCCTATTTAAAATTTCCTCCCTTCTACATTACACGCGAAATCTACTTACATTTTGTTCTCAGTTCTTGGGAACAGCAGTGGTCTGACCCATGGCACTGAGGTTGCTCTAGAGCAGGGCTCAGCTAACTGCTCCGGTCAAGGGCCCAGTGCAACAGACTGTGGGTCACATGGTCTGCTGCAACTGCTCGATTCTGGATTCTGCCACTGCAGCACAAAAGCAGCCCAGCCCGTATGCAAAGGGACTCGCTATGCTCCACAGAACTCCACAGAAGCACAGGGCAGACAGGACTGGACCCTGGGCTGACATTTGCCAACCTCTGCTCTAGAAGAATGAAGACGCTGAACATGGTGCCAGTGGCCCACCCCAGCTCTGTGGCCACTCACACTGCAGTCCTTCATGAAAGCTACATGTGGAGGGAGCCCATGGAGGCACTGAGGGGTATGAGTCCTGTGAAGGTCATAAGCTGGAGGCACCTCCTTCAGGGTAAATATGACACGACCATAAACACTGCCCTGCTCCAACAGACGCTGCACACACACACACACACACACACACACACACACACACACACACACTTCACAACCAGCAGAGGGCACTGAGGTCCATGGAAGAGGAGCTGGGAGGAGACAGGCTGAGGCTGAGTGTGATTCATCAGAACTGTGATTCTAGAATGGCCCCTTATCAAACATCACACTTAAAGTAAAGGGTTATTCAAAAAGGAAGCCTACAAGGTTGCTGGCTAGCTGGCTATTTGCAAAAACAAGGCGTTCATCAGCCTGCACACTTCTCAGGACTTCCGCCAGCCCCAGGTGGGCTGTCAGCTGTAGCTACCCACGACCTGACCTCATTTTAAAATCGCCCTTCTTCTTCACCACAGCCTCTCAATAAAGTGCACCCTGAGGCTTGGCTCCTTAATCAAAAAGAAAATAGGTTTCTCCTTGTAGAAATTCCCCATGGCTTCATTTGCTGAAGTTCCTATTCGAGTCGTGCAAGTCCACCAAGTTGGTAAGTCAAAGTGTGGACAGAGCTGAGGAGCCGAGAGCAGAAATCCCAGACAACAACATCAATGATGGTGCAAACGAGGTCCTGAAATCCATGTTGTGCTCTTCTCCTAAATCCTGCTCTAGAAATGCTGTGGAAAATTCTGAACCCATTATTCAGATAGCCTGATAGGCTACTGAAATATTTATAATAAATGATGACTTATACTAAACTGACCTCCTAAAAAGAGCTTGTAGGCTTATTTGTTGAACAACCCTAGACATAAAACAAAAGATCACATTCCCAATCTATATCTCATTACTCTAGTGTTCAAAGCACTCCATAGAATTAGGAAGAGTGATATGTCAACCATCATTTCCAGAGAGTCAAATTTAGGACTTTAAAAAAAAAAATCTAATAATCTACAAATATTTCAGGTGAAAGAAAAATAATCTATATGTATTTTCTTCAGAGGTGAGTTGGTTAGTAAAATAGATTTGTGTAGATCAAAACCTCCACTCCCTATCATTGACAGGCATATTCTTTATCGGTCATGTGGTTAATGGGAACAGACAGACTCAGGAGTTAGATCAACATTTCCACTGCTGAAAGCGCCCAGTCAGGAGCGCAGCACAACTACCTTTCTGAAGCATGGAAGTGGGAAGGCTGCGGAGGGCAGGAACTAGACAGGCCACCCTCGGCGGCAGCTGCAAGATGAGGGGGAGTCCTTTTGCCATCTACCGGGCTGCTGGACACACCACATGATACACATTGAAAGAAAGAAAAAAATCAGAGGTCAATTAAGTGAAACTTCTTGTAAACTTTTTAGCTACTCTCAACAGTAATGTCCATAAAAAAATGAAAACATTCAGGCTTCTGACAGCAGAGCTCTCTGGGCCAAGATTATGAAGAATTCAACTTAACTTTCCTGTTTTTACAAAAACAGGAAGGAAGACCCTATTTCAATTTCCATTTCATCCATATGCCCACAAAAGATGGCCTGTCTCTCTGACTGTAGCTTAGTGCTTAATCAGACCACATACCCAAAGTCTTGAGAGCATCTATGCTGTCAATTATCTTCGCATATGGAAATGTATCTACTTAGCCTAACTTGTAATTCCATTTAACAGTGGTCACTGTTGAATCATTTTTCTAGATTATTCTAAATTCATAACGCAAAATACTAGACACAGAAAAACTTACTTGGGGCTGTGTTTAAAACATTTATTTTATATTCTTAAGACTAGTGTATAGATGTTTCAACCTACTAGTGTTTCTAAACACTGTGCACTGTTTCCTCCCATAGAGGTTATCCCCGCAGATCCAAGGAAAGGACACATGGGGCTCTGGAATGGCCCTGAGTCTATTCTGTTCAGTACAATGAGCCACTGGTCACATGTAGCCCTTGAGCACTTCAAATGTGGCCAGTCCAAATTGAGATGAGCTGTACATGGAATATGCAAAAGAATTTAAAACAGCATGAATACAGATCATGAACTATCTCATTGATTTTATCTTTAAATTGACTACTTGTGGAAATAATATTTCACTTATACTGGGTAAAATGAAATCAACCCTTAAAATTAATTTCACTCTTGATACTTTTTAAATATGGCTACCAAAAAAATTAAGATTACATATGTAGCTAAGCGCTGTATTTCCATCAGACAGGGCTGGTCTCTATCCATCAGAGCCCCAGGCTCACCCTGGGACCAACATTCGCTGCCAGCCCTGGCTGGGCACAGGCACAGGACACACCCACCCCCCAACATCAGCCCATGCTGCTGCCTCTCTCTTGAGATCACTCTGAGCCAACTGGACCCAGGAGAGTGCTCTGATGAGACCAGCCTCGGGTTGGAGTCCTCTACAGCACACAGAGCTGCAGGAGCTCGTCCAGCTCCATTTTAGGCCACTCCGAAGAACCACCCAAGGACGTGACTGTCCGTAGACAAGTATTTTTCTCACTTTTTTTCTCATTAACACCACACCCCTGAGCATTTCAAGAAATTAGTAGTCTGATCCCACTCCCTGGCATTCTAATGCCGTACCCTGTCAGAGATAGCAAGGCTTTATATCATCTAGGATCTGTTTGCCACCCAAGAACCAGGCAAAAGTGCTCCTGTGTTCTCCAAGGCTTCCCTGATTTAAATCTGTGGAGTTTTCGGGAAGGCGATCTGCACACCTAGCAGCCAAGTTCACCTGGGAGCTCCTAGGCAGCTCCATGTGTTCAGGGACATACACACTCTTGACAAGCAGCATGGGTTAGGTGAGGGGTAAGCCGTCACTGTAGCAGCCCTGAGGGACCTCAGCAGCTGGAACCTCTCTTCTCTGAACCTGACTTCACCAAGGACCATGACGGCCTCTACCACCCTGCCTCCTGCTAACAATCAGCACTTCATAACTAGCCAGCGTTTCTCCTCCAGCATCACCGGCAGACAGCTAACTCAGCAAATGAATTCAGTGTGTGATCTGCGCCTGTCCTGGTTTTACTCAGTACCTGCTACTCTACATTGAGGTTTTCTGGTCCTAATTGTTTTCTTTGGTATTTATATTCCATTATTTTCTTTGACATGCTTCCAGTAACTGGCTCCTAACTCTTTGGACAGGGACGAGTGAACCATGACCCACAGACAGGCAACTCACCTGGGGTTGGGGGACCACTCTCGATCTGAATTGGGGTATGATGCTGACTGGGGATAAGGCAAGACTGAGGGGAGGTTTTCCTTGGGAATCTCATCTTGGAATGGCGGTATGTCACTAGGAAGAGTTCTGGAGGAAAAAAGGTTAGAGTCAAAGAACTTCCAGGGACATATTCATAATAAAGTCAAGTTCTAAGTTCTTTCTCTAAGTATTTCATCAACCAGCGTGACAGCTTAGGTAGTGGAGAGACAAAAATATAGAGACGAGCACAAAAAATGTGTTTGTGTGTCAGGCTGAGTCACAAATTTAAAAATGCTTTGTTTAAGCATTTGGACTCAATCATAGGCACGTCACCCTGCTTTCCTGTCCCACTGCAGCCTCTTTCTGTCACCTTCTGCATTATACCTCACAAATGTATGAGAGGCAGATCTGACCCAAAGCCAGACCGAGGGATTACAAAACCCTTGCTATATGCAGGTGGAACTGCATTGTAACTACAGGGCCAGGCCTGAACCATGTTCTGTCAGCCAGAATAAATAAATGACATCAACCAAATGTATCTTTTCATCACCAAGCGAGGGCCACACTGCCCAGTCTCTGATGCATGAGCATGCTCACAGCAAGATGTGATTCACTCCTGTAGAGGCCATCTGCCTGCACCCACGACGAGGCCTGCAATGCCTGCAGCCAAGTTCCAGAGCTCAACATCACCCAGAAGTGCAAGAACAAGCCCAGCCCCCACTTCTGCACCCACAGCAGTCTGGAGGCCACTGGAGTGAGGAAGAGCATCACTGCCCACCCACCTTCATCTTTAGCCAGAAAAAAATAAATCCTATCCTGAACAAGGAAGCAGGGACATTCCTGTTGTTCCTTATCCCCTGTTTACGTTAACAAGATGTAAAAATAATTATCAAAAAGAACACTAAATTATATGTAAAATAGCAAGTATTCTTTAAAAATGAGTTTTGTCTTCCTAACTGGCATTTTTCACCAAAATTGCAATATATAAAAACAGAATTTCACTACACTCTTAGAAACAAACAAAAAAAAATAGGGGTAAAAATATCCATTAAACTTTGTGTCTAGCCTAAATTAAGGACACAGTGGGGATGCAGATTAAAGTGAGCATGCACTAGTCATTTCAACCTCAGCCTGTCACATGTCAGCAACCTACAAATAGCCAACAGCCACTCGCAGAGCTGGTGCTCAAAACAGAGCCCAGAGCTCCTGTACACGCTTCTTAGGCTGCTAAGGCCCTGGGTTTCACCCCCAGCACCGAAAACTAACTAACAAGGTCTGAGAAAATGACTTTGTTCACCCACTGCTCATCGACTGCGTCCTGCTTCCGGGTTCTACTCTGAGCTGAACTTGGCGGCCACGGCGCTGGCCCTCTCCTGCACTCTCCCAGTGAGAAGCTACACAGAATCTCAACTCCACTCAGGACACTCGATTCCAAAATCCAGACTAAAGGGCTTAAAAGTAAGAAATTCTGAGGAGTTAAAAAAAAAAAAACAAAAAAAAAAACAAAAGAACTTATAAAAACCATCTTAAAAGCTACTTCCTCCAACCCCATGTGCCCGCCCTCCCTGGGCCTTCACCTGCTGCCGTCCAGCGGCCCTGAGTCCTCATCCGAGCTCATCTCTATGGGAAACATGTCTTCGTCCTCAGACGTGTTCGTGTTGTCATCCCTCTTCAGGCTGTCCAGTTGGGACTTCCTCCTCCTTTTCCGCCTCTTCTTTACCAAGGAGCCACTGGACGAGGTCTCGCTGGGTGGCACAACCTGGGGAGGCGTGCAAGGGTCCAGGCTCCTCACCCTGTCTGCCGAGTTCCTTTTCAGCTGGGACTCCATTCTCGAAGCTCCTTCGGACAGGATAGGGGAGGTGGCCAGGTACATGGGGATCACTTCCTGGGGAAAGGATGCATTTACAAGAGTCCGATTAATTTGGGCTCAAGGAGCAACAGCCAGGTCAGCAATTTACCAAATGCCACTGTATTCACATAATTAGAACCCAGTGAATCAAGAACCAGAGATTTCAAGCCTCCACAATTCCTCCCCACCTGAAATACCCAGAGCAGAGAGAAAAGGAAGGGCTCTAGGTCACCCCTTGGTGCTAGAAGGCGACTCGGCTCTGCACTCTGTCGTGGGTGTCCATGTGGGTGGGGGAGACAGGCAGAGCAAATGTGTGTGTGCCTTTTAAATATTTATTCTCTTTGTTTCTATTTGTTCTCTTTTCAACTTTTTTATTTCTTTTTATTTTTGTGTGTGAGCCAGCACTGTCCATGATCAGTGGTGCAGACGCAGCGCATCTTCCAGCAGCCTCCCAGATGCCCAGTGAGGGGGAGGGGAGCAGGCCACTGCAGGGTGCAGCCGCTGTGGCCTCCTAGCCCACAACACTTCTTGCAGCTAATAGGTGTGAACAGGTTGAAAAGGCAAGTGGCTGCTTGAGCATGAAGAGGTTCCGTCAGGACACCTTTAGGAACCATCAGGCATCCTCAGGCCTTCGCGTTCACAGAGACAGAGCAGACAGCTGGGGTCCCTGACAGCCACAGGGCCATGACAGGACAGGGCCCTCCCGCTTCGGACCTCACAGGAACACCAGCACCCTTAGGCCTGGGGCTACAGGGAGCCATTCCTTCCCACCATGCCCTCTGCTGGTAAAAGGCTCTAGTTCACAAGGATCTCAAGGAGGAATCACTACTCAGATCCCTTCAGTGAGCAAAAGAGTTCAAGGGGAAGTAGGTACAAGCTCTGTGGCAGAGCTTGCCTAGCATGAGCAGTGCCTGTGTTCAAACCCTGGTCCCTCCAAAAACATTTAAAAATTAAAAAGTAGTTTGGTTTGTCTTGGAAGGAAACCAGTAAATCTTTGCAGCCTTGGATTTGGCAAAGGAGTCCTAGCTAGGTAGGACACCAAACAATGAACAACAAAATGAAAACTAGAATAATTAAAAGTTAAACAAAATCCTTTTAAAGAGAAAGAAAAAATAGGCAAAGCTCAAAACGTGGAAGTGACTCTGACCACACAGCCTTCCTCACCTGATCATTATCAGTCTCTTGAACAAAAAATGCTTCTCCATTATCACCCAACTTCATATGCAAATCCACGGATTCACCGTTGATTTCTATGTCAACCTGAGGGAAAGGCATGGTTAGGAACACAGGAGCTCCACCAGGACACCTCAGGGAGCAGCCACACCCCCACACACTTCAACCCCAGTGCCCTGAGCACTGGGGTCCTGAACTAAGAGGCCCTTGACCATGAGGGACGAGACCCAGAATGGAAGAGCTCCTCAGAGCCCACCTGGGGTCCAGTCTCTCCTTTTCTAATGTAGGGGCTGAACCCAGGGTCTCACAGCTGGTGAGTGGTAAGAGTTCAACTTCAGACTACGTCAACACCTCCCCAGCTAAGCACTGGTCCTGGGAGAGAGCAATTCAAGGAGGAATCCAGTGCCAGCCTGTGAGCCTTCTGGCTGAGGCCTCAGCAGAAGAGAGCAGAGGCAGGTCAGCGGTGCCCCACGGTCCCCCTGAGCCACAGAACCCGGGCCTTGATAAACAGCTGGGCCTCTATCTTTCAGAGTAACTGACAGTCACAGCCACTGGAGCAGTTTGAATTAGTGACTGTCAACTCAGGGAACTGCCATTCCCAAGGGACAGCTAACAGCCAGGTCTCAGAGCTCAGGGTGTGCAACAACACAGAAGCAGGATGCAGTCCTTAAGGAAGCCGTGCACTGGCTGACGGGGCCCCAGTCTCACCACTTTCTCCCGGGAACGCAGAACCCCCATCTTCCCGAAGCGGACATGGAAAGGGGAGCACTGCAGACTCCCATTGGGCTGCCGGATGACAATGATATCGATGCATCCCGACAGAGTAGCAGGGTTCAACCCCTTGTAGAGCTCCTTCACAGTGACAAACACCTGGCCGGCCAGCTGCCCAACGTAGTTCATGGTCTGGGCCTAGGAGACAGAACAGTTAGGACACACACAGTCAACCAGGGAAGCCACCAGAGCCAATCAAAGTGAACAACTCCCCGTACAACTCACACATTCCACCTTCACAGTGCTCAGATTATTTTATTTCTGGAATGTTCTCCACACACCCACCACCACCAGCAACACCCTCTACCCAGGCAGGGCCCACCCAGCCCAGAGAGCCTAAGCCCCATGAAGACAAACTGCAGGTGTCACCAGGGTGTCTTCTCTGATGCCTGTGAGCCCTGTCTGCGGAGTTCTCATGGCTGCTGCCACCTGTGCCTGCTCTGCCAAGGTGCACAGGTCTCACACACTAAATATTCCTCAGGAGAGAGGCTCTATTCTAGACAGCTGGCACCCCGAATGTGCAGCAGCTGAGAGAAACTACTTCCACCTGAGAAGGGAAGCAACTGACTGCTCATTTCTAACAGTCCCCAGCCAGGTCCTTGCCTGCGGACTCTTCTCCCACCACTGGAGGGACACGCGCACTGTGCTGCCGTCTGCCTGCCCACAGCCTCTCACCTGCCACTCTGCAAAGGTTCAGGGCCCTGCAAATGTTCAGGGCATCTACTCACAAAAAAGATGGAGCCCTGGGGCACAGAGGTGCGGAAGGGTAGGGAGAGCAACTTCAAATGCTCGACAGCATAGCAGGATAACTAGAGTTCACACTAATTCAATGGAATTTTCCAAAATATTCAATCTTGAAAATTGAGTATTCCAAAATAGCTAGTAGAAAGGATTTTGACTCTTCCCAACGCAATGAAATGATATGTCTGAGGTGACATATTTGCTGGTTACCTTAACCATTACACATCATACATGCACTAATGTCACACTCTACCCCATAAATATTACAATTACTGTGTGTTAATTAAAAATAAAAATACATTTTAAGACACAGTCCCTTGTTCCCCAAAGGGACTTGAAGACTTGGGTCGGACTGAGAGGCACTACATAAGTAACTAAAAAAAGTCAGCATTGCTGCGTTTAAATGCAGGCTAGGGGAGGTGTGACCTAGGAAAGAGACCCAGAGCGGGTCCTGGGAAGCCCCAATTTACAGCCAGTCGGTCGGAAGAGCAGGAGGTCGGAAGAGCAGGAGGCTGCAGCTTGCAGGTGGCACTCAACATGGGTACAGTCTCATCAGTACAGTCTCGTCAGTACAGTCTCGTGGGCCAAGCCCATCACCTGTGGGATGTGACTCTAGCTCCAGGTGACACAGAACCCGCTGGTATCTGCCAAGAACTGGAGAAATGCTTGGTATGGAAGAGACCACACTATTGGAGTCAGAGTACTAGGTGAGAGCAAACAGTTTTCTTTTTATTCTTTATAAGCTATACTATTCTCATTGATCAAGCCCTGGCCTTCCAGTTTTAGGAAAAAAAAAAAATCTTACATAAGCCTCACCTCTACCCTATGAACTAGGCATAAGTGTAAGCGGAAACATGCTCGGAGGTGGCAAGTCAGATGCCCTGCATGCATGAGTTCTGCCTTAGAACTGGCCAGGGACCTGGAAGTAACGAAGGAAGCCTGCAAGAAAAGAGCACAGGAAACTCTCTCTGGCTCCTTTGTGATTTTAGGGGAGGCTCCAGAATGATCCACTTCCTGCCACCACTGAGGAATCCAGCAGACCCTGTAGCCAGCACATTTGAGGGGCTCAGACCTGCCTTCCTCTCAAACAAGTAAATGCCAGAGCTGTCAATCTGTCCTGATACAAACACATGCCTTTTCTAAGTTTGCCAGTGGTGCAGGTTCACCTAACTTCATGCGAAGGCGAGGGGTCCTGAAAAGGTGTGCAATATAAAACTCATTCTCTGTAACCCTGACACTTCTTTCAGCAAATCTCTCCATAAAAGAAATTATCACCCCAGAAGTTACACTGAGGTTTTGGTATGCTGCACTGTGCTGAGTGTGAGCAGCATGTGTGCACAGTGTCAAAGGCATACGTACAGCTTTTGCCTTGCACATCTCATTCTCATGTGTCTCTCACAAGAATCTGCAGATACAGACCTTTCAGAAGGGAGCTGGAGACAAGCCCCAGTGCAGCAAAGTCCGTATCCAAGACTTCAGGGCTTGGAGTTCAGTGCAAGACTGGAAATGGGGTCTCTGGATTCTGAAGCGGGCCTTGGATGAGTTTTGTCTCTCCCATCCCCCAGAGCTTCCTAATCTCCTCAACCTTGAATATATATACAGACTATGCTTATCACTGAATGAAGGACTGCTGGTATTTTTCATGCATATGAAAGAAAAAGCTCCTAATGGGATGGTATTCGCACATCTCTGCAGCCCAGCTTCCCTCTGCATGAAGGCCTGGATGACCTGCAAGGTCCAATTTCAGCTCTAATCAGGCCAAGATAAAAGCTGCACTCCTTCACGCTCAGCAACCTAATAGGCATCTTTAATAATTTAAACTAATTGTTGCTCTGCTCTCCTGTCCTCCAGAACAAAGCATCCCTCCCCCTCAGAGTAAAAAAACTCAAGGTGATCTCCCAGAATCTGAAAAGTTTCAAACCAGAAGGATCCTGAGTACATTGCTGCTCCAAGGGCCTTATGTTAAGGAAATAAGCCCTTACACGGAAAGTGCCTTGAGCAGAGCTCCCCGGAACTGCACCCCCATCCCCTGTGGCAGAAGGAGCCAAGACTGGTTTTCTGCTTGCTCACCCACCGTGGGTGCCACTAGTTGAAGCTGGAGTACTTTCCTACTGCAAGCAGCCAGAAGGCGCTGCCATCACAACTGCTGTTGGTCTTCGGAGGAAACCAGTAGCTCCGATACCTGCTGCTCTCCCCTCTATGGATAACTTCTCTGCGAATCTGAAAACGCCTCCATGCAGAAGCAGAAATCTACTCAACAGTTAAACAAGCATTAAGGTTAAGGTAATAAATTTTATCTTATGTGTATTTCACGACGATTATTTTTAAGAGGGAGAACACCATATTAACCAGAACTCATTCCAGGAAGATGAATACCATTCGATTAAAAAACTTCTTTGACATCAACGTGGGGTAGAGGAGTAATGCCTCCCCAGGAGGCAAGATAGGTGGGGCCAGGGTAAACCCAGTCACACAGGCACCTGCTTGGCTGAGGGTACACAGGTGCTGGGGGCACCCAGGGCTCTTTTCTCCGTCCCTCTCCAGGTTTTCTTCTGAATAAATAATACGCAAATATTTAAAGATTACAAGAATAAACCAGCTGGGCGGAAATTCCCAAATTTCACTTTCTCCTGTTGCATTTAAAGTAAAATTCTTAAGGAAGAAATTAATTCAATTTGCCTGAAGAAGCCAGACAAAAACCGGCCCAGATGGGCTGACTCCTAACATGCCATGATCTCAGATGACCTCATCAGTCGCTATTTGCGTTTCCTGGTGTTGGAAGACACCTAACCAGGCAGTAAGGCAGTACTTGTTTTGAAGAAGAAAGTACGTAAATAACCTCAAGGTAACAGAAGGTAAGGAAAAGCTTAGGAACAAAACAAAATGCTTACATTTCCTGTTCAACAGCGTAAGATACCTGCTACTCATCCCCCATTCCACACGGCCTTAAAACCTACTGGTTTCAATCTCACAATGTGGCGCAAACCTTGCAGGTTCCACAGTCCCTAGTTTAAAAGCTTTTGACAGAGAATCCAGTCAATTATCAGCAAAACTCCTGGGGCCAGACTGGGTTCTCGAAGCTGGACCGCCTGCTTTCTGAGAAACTGTGAGGTTACAAAAACACGCAAGCTCTCGTTCTTGCTGAACACACATCTGTCTTCCAGTCTGGACCACTGGATATTCTTTCCTGGGTAAATTCTGCCTAGATAAATGTGGAGGTCGTGGAGGGAGCTCCTGGGGGGCATGGAGGGATCTCCTCCTTCAAGGCCCCCCGCCCAGGATGGCAGGCAGCACCCTATAATTAATCTGCACAACTCCTGGCAACTACAGACACCCAAGGGCATCGACACCCCAACCCCGCATGGTCCCAGAAGGGCAGCACTGCTGACACTGTCAAAATGGCACAGTGACCAGAGTCTCGAGGCTCCTCACCTAGCTGTTACATTAGAAGATTCTGCTTTAGTCCAAATTTGGAAGAATCCACCTCCAGGCTTCGCAAATTGCCAAGAAACACTGCTTTCTTGGAACTTGAGTCAAAATTCAAAAGCTCTGCCACAGCTCTCATTGCCCCACAAGTTCTGCTAACCCCATCCACTTCTAGAAGATCAAGTTCAGCTTAAGATGGCCTCATCCAGCCCTCTGGAAAAACAAGCAAAATATATAAAAAGTTCACAAGAAGAAATACATCTGGTCCATAATATATGAGAAGAAAATACCATTCACAGAGATATGCAAGTCAAATGTGGCCTTTAGAGGGTCTAAAAACTTCCTAAGAACTGCTGGATTGGTGAGGTGGGAATTAGACACATACCCCTCATGAGGTCATCAATGGGGTCAACTCTGTTGCAACAGCTACCCTTTCATATACACATGCTAACAAACCCCAGCAATTCCACTGCTACAAACTCATCTACAGACATAGTAAGATCCTAGGTCAAAGACAGTAATTGCTGTCTCCTTATAATAGGGAAAATTAGGAATAACTTGAATAACTTAAATATCTACACAACTCTGTATTAATAAATTACCAACCACACCATTGTTATGTTTAAATGTGGTGTCCCCCAAAAGCTCATGTGTGAGACAATGCAAAAGGTGCAGAAAAGAAAGGATTGGGTTATGAGAGCCTTACCCAATCAGTGAATTGATCACCTGACGGGATTAACTGAGTGGTAACTGAAGGCAGGTGGGGTATGGCTGGAGGAGGTGGGGCATTGGGGGCATGGCTTTGGGGTATACATTTTGCATCTGGTGAGTGGAGTCTCTCTCTGCTTCCTGATCGTCTGTGAGCTGCTTCCCGATCGTCTGTGAGCTGCTTCCCACACTCTTCCACCATGTTCTGCCTCACCTCAAGCCCTGAGGAATGGAGCTAGCCTTGGACTAAGACCTCTGAAACC